ATTTCTTTATCTGTAGCAAAGAAGAAATTATATTTTCATTTCCCCCATTCCTGAAATCCTGATCCTTACTGTATATAACTCTGTAGCGTCTCGCTCGAACTCAACGCGCAGGGCGCATTTCTCGCATCGCTCAACGCTACGAGTTTCTCGCTCAAAAATGTATTTGGCTCGAAACTCTACCGAGTTTCTTGATCTTACAGGACAACCCGATCGTATCGTTGACTTAGGAGATGTGGATTGTCCGTCGTTGCAAAAAATACGAAACAAGACAAACACTCGATGTTTGCATCATAACGTTCCGTATTTTAGTTGTTTGACCAAGAATGTTAAACTGTTAAGGGCCTGGTTGTCGGAATTAAAAGAAACAGTGATATAATCCATTATGCGTATTTATTTGACACACTCCAAACATCATTCGGCACACTCCAAACAGTGAAATTCGATATGGTTATAGTGCCCGCCAAGGTATCGCATGATAAGTCCATTCCCCTCGGCTGCAAGCGTCATGTTTTGAAACGTATCTTTCAACTCCTTCGCCATCCTTGCTGGTAGAAATACCGAGAAGCTCTTCACGATGTTCACCAGCAATCTCATCTCATATTTGGTTTGAACTTGCCGGATGCCGCTAATTTTATAATCCTTGTTAATTTCCAACTCAGACAACTTCTTCGTCGGTAAAAGATCCTCCAGGCGGCCCACTTTGTTGTTTTTTTTTTAAATCCATTGCCTTCAGTCCAGACGAAGAATTCTTAAGTTTCTTGTAATCTGATCACGTTCGATCCTCGATTCAATCAACTGCTTCACTTCCTTGATGCTTTTCAGAACCAATTCTATGCGGACTGCAACTTCGCGCTGCTTCTCACTGTTCCGCATAATCTGACTGTGGTCACTCGAATAATGAATACGACCCGATGCAGCCCTTTTATATAGGGAGCCCTTTTTGTTTAAAAAAAATGGTACGGGATTTCCTGGAATCGTTCACAGCGAGAGAGAAAGAAGCTTCCGAGGTAAAGGTTCTAGAAGGTTCGAAAGTGCTATCGTCCGACGTCTATCAGAGCCAACGGATGCCTAATTCTCCGAAGTCGACAAATTCGCGGAATTGCGTCGTGGCTGACGAGAGCCGACGGATTCCTGCGTCGAGGGAGAGAGATAACGGATGGCACTAGAAAGTCGGTAGCGGCGGACAAAGTTCTCGGAATCGTCGCGGGGAGTTTCGCTGCGAATCATCTGGTGCTCAACGGCGCCGACGCACGATTCTTGGAATCGAACGGCGGATGGCGAATTCGTAGAATCGAATGGCGGACTGTGAATTCGTGGAATCGAATGGCGGACGGCAAATTCCAAACCTCAAGGTCGAGTGTAGGAGGGGGGTTGGGGGAGGAAATGTTGCGTCAACATTTCGGGGCGATGGGGGAAGGGGGCTTGCATGAAAGGGGGATGAGATCTTGCAGGAAAGGCGGGTGGAGAGAAGGGGGGACTCACACACATAGGGCTGCCTGCCCACGTGTGCGTGCCTGTGTACGTGTGCACGCACGCGCGTGAATCCAGAACCGGCCCAGTATACCTACTAATAACTGTAGATTTCTTAGTATTTTTTTGTTTAGAAATTTTGAAGTTGACGCAAAAAAAAAACTAAGTTTATCGGTTTCTGTAATACTACCATATATTCCGGTAACTTTCGTTTCTTTTTGCTTCGATTTCAAACTTTCCAAGCAAAAAATACTTAAGGTTTTAAAATGTTCATTACATAAGATAAACGAGGTCGGTTATAAGAAAAAATTAACGCAGTCATGGTGCGGTTACTGTCAACCGATAGTGATTTCCATTGTGTCTTTGAATTTTATGATCGGATCATGTGAAAACTTACATGGACTACTTTGAAAGTAAAATAAGTAATAAAAGTAATAAAGTAATAAAAGTAAGAAAAGTGAGACAAAAGAGAATCATCAGAATTGTTAAACCTGGGGGAAGTAATGCGTGCATAAAAAAAATATATATTTTTTTGGGTTGAATTGAGAACCTCTTTCTTTTCTGAAGTCCGTTAAAAAGAGTGTAGTGCCCCGTCAAAATTTTAATTTCTGTAAGGTATCGAGTACGGCACTGCCTAAGCCACACGGACGCCGTTTCCGTTTCTTATGGAAGAGACAGTCGATCACCGGTCTCCGGATTATACACACTCCAAATAAAGTCTTTCCTTTCTGAACTAAAATCATTATTCACTAACGAGAGATCCTACAAGAGATTACACAAAAACGATTTTACATACATTAGTAAAGTAAATCGATTTCATATACATTTGAAAAGTAGTGAAATCATTTGAATTAAAGCGATAAAATCAAGAATTAATTTTGATGTTAAGAAACGCGAATTTCCCATTAAATTAGTCTTACCAGGGAAAAAAATTCATCCACTTTCATCACAAGTTTCAAGGTAACAAAAATCATTTCGAAGCCTATTTCAGAGTGCAATCTCATATCAAACTGATTTCTGACAAGAGTTATGCACACGTGCTCTCTTAAGTATTCCTAAGACCAGCACTTAATTTTTAAACATCGCCAGCGATTTCTGAACATTTGGCTTGCAGATAAAATATTAATGGTTCAAATTTCCTTTCAGTTACTGCAATACATCTTTTAATGCTAGAACATGGTATATTTTACATACATAATATTGATATATAGTATGTTATTTAAATTGTTCCACCTGAGGGAAACTTGAACTTGTCAAGGTTTGTACCGCAATTGCTTCGGATTTGCGCAACGTTACGCAACCCGGCTAATTGTCTGCAAACCGCCATTAAGTAATGAAGTCAAGTAAAGGTTCAATTCTTTTAAAATAAATCTCTGCAAATAACTGCCTCTATGAAATATGTTTACCCCATTGTTGATAAGGGGTACCTTAATATTTCTATTACTTTTACGTCGATATCGATGGGTCCATGAAATCGACTTTAACGTCCCTGTCACTTGTTTCTCGGTATTCATGCTTTTGCGTATCAGGATTGATGAATAAACGTGAAATGCCTTCGCATAAGTTATAAGCTAACCTTGTCTATCGAAGCGAATCGAATTCCTCGTTCTTCCAAGTAAATTTGTCGGCGAGCTCGATATTTTCAATCAAGTAGTAACACTTAGTCGTTTAAACTGTTGCGATGGCGGAAATATTTATCGAGACTCGACATCCGCCGTTTAATCGACGTTATTTATCTTCCAGATTAATTAGCTCACCGATTTGAGTACCACATAATAAAGCTGGAACCTCCGCGGTTTTCAAAAGAGCTAATTATAAACCTTGATTTAATACATTATATTACTCTTATCTAGAGAGAGAGAGAAAGAGTTAACTGGAACAAGCAGTACTTGAATCATGAACGAAACGTGAGTACTGTAATGAACGATGATTACTGGATTTATATTTACAATTTTATTTTTGCTTATGCAGGTCAAGAGAGGCTGCAGTTTCAACAGTGCCCGTAGAAAAGTATTAATTACAAAATTAATTTAATTCTAACAGCTCGGTTTATTAACTTTTTTTATTTTTCATGGGTTTTATGTGATGTCTATTCTTAATTTCCAATTTCCTCTGATATCATCTTTATAATCCAAGAAAGGGTGAAGCAACCGATGACGCCGAAGAGGAGTATGACCCATTCATACATCGTCCTTACATCCAAGAGCAACTAAATACGTAAGTCCGTAACAACAATTTTTGTATAGTTTGTAATATATACACTGAGAGTAAAATCTAGTTAAACTAACGATTTTTTAACTAATTTTTATACATCCAAAAAGGCTCAGATACTTTTTATAGTAAAATTCATTTTTTTTTAACAAGGAAATTATGGATGAAGTTCCGAAAAGCGTATAGCTCCGATTAATTTCAAACTTCGTAAACCCATATACTTTAAGACACTTATTACGAATATGACAGTGAAAATTGACGCAAATGTTATATTCAAGGTAAAAATGATTGTCAATTATTTTTGCAAATTTTCACATTATTTCGATTAGTATAGGTGTAAAAGAAAAAAGTTTTAGATAAAAGTTGCAACTATTGTAGAATTAATTTTCGGGTCGGGAAGGCATGAGAGACAAACACGCGACTTGTTGGATTGGTCGGTAAAAGTTAATTTATTATTAGTACATGGTGCTCAGCTCTGAGGTTCGACACCGACTACTGCTCGAATTCGAAAGACGGTTAGCCGATGGGACACACAGTCATACACACTTGTACATTAGGTGAGCTACGGTCAGATGTAAATAAGGCAGAGGACGAACAAGTGAAGAGAGAGAGATAGCTCGAACTCCTGTATCCTACACTATTGTAACTAACCCAGCTAAAGTAACTATTCCAAAACGGTAAAAAACTTGACAAAAAACGCTGTTACTGTTCCTGAAAAACTCGTTAAAAAAAACAGTAGGATGTTCAAAGTATAAAAAATAGTTGCAGCTCCTATTTTATAGTAAATCGAACAAATTGCGTCCCTTTAACAAAAATGGTTTTAACAGGTTCGAATTGCTCGGTTTATCAGCTCTTTTTCTCTCAGTGTAGTTATGATTCGCGAAACCTTGTACTTTCCAAGTACCTGCTTTTGAGTTTTTGACGCGTTCTCAAGGCGCGCATTTGGCCGCCAAATGGTAGTTTTTTCTTTCATACGAAGGAGCTGAACTTCCACAAAACTTTGGGTAAACTGGCACATAAGAAATACCCTTGAATAGTACACGATCTTATAAAGAGATTCAGGCCATCCTCGATCACGCCACTATTTCGCCTATCCTTGCTGCCGATGCGTGATAGATGTCGTTTATAGCGCTCCTCGACAAGGAACCAATCGCGAAGGATTCAGAAAATGTTCGTATCCCTTCCACGGTACGTCAACTTTTCCGAGGCACTGGAAGCATTTACGTGGCTACAAAAAATGACATTCTGCTTTGTAAATCGAACGAAGGAAGTATGACCTTATCAGTTATTTTGTACAATTGAAGCCTTTAAGCCGAAGTGCATCCATCCGACGTACGCTTCATTCTTGTGGACTTTTGCTTTTAAAGTAACGATTCAATTCTATTAGGAACGCCTTCGTGCATGCATTGCGGGGAACTTGATGTAAAATTTAATATTTCGCATTTGTTAACTTTTACTTATACGTTGTGTGAGATTAAATATGCAAGAAAGTGTGATTACTTAAAAATTCATGATAATTTTACAGCAGCCAGAGATTCTGAAAAATATTTTTACGTAAGAAGCATTTTCTCCAGATTTATTGCAAGGAAGTGGCAGTAATGTCCCGAGTTGTTACATAGTGGGAAAAAGTAGGATAGCTCACTATGAATTTCGCCCTCGTTAGTGTCATTGTTAAAGGAAAAAACGAAGAAAAAATGGCCTAAGTGTGGACTGAACGGTCGTGAAAATTACGGTCTCTACCGGAATCAGGACCAAATTCTTTTGACCATGCAGATAGATCGTTTACGTTTCAGTAACCTGTTCAGAGAAAACCAATTAACCTGATTACGATCCGTTTGCAACCAATTTTCTGCAACTTGTTCACTGTAACCCGTCTTTCGAGCGTGTTTTCACCAATATTTGATCAAAATATCATGGTTTTTAAACGGTCCACAAGTTATGATCGAATGAGCATTTGCTTGTTTCCAGTGAGAAAAAATAATTTATCTTTATTACACGTTACTTATCGATGATTCTTATAAAATAAGTATATAGAAGAATTTTTGTAAAATTTTGAAAATTTTAGAAATCATGAAGATTTAAAGTTGAGCCTGCACCGATCGACAAAAGTGACAAAAAACGAAAAATAAAAAATTGTGAATGAAATGAAAACGTCCTCGAATAAGGGAAAATTCAATAAAAACAGGAATGCTTGAGAAACGGGAAAGATTTTTGTACGGCTTGGGAATTATCGATTATTAACCACAGGTCAAACAATTGTTCGCTGATATTGTAAAAGTCCGTTCGAAAACTTCAATCAGAGTTTTCTTGAAACTACATTTTTCACGTTGGTCTCCAAATACCTTAATTAAAAATTTCGATTTTTTGACCGATACAAGTGAAGAAATGCAGTGAAATGATCAAATTTATTGATTTCATTATTTTCCAATTAAAATTTGGAAACTACAACTAAACTTATGAACAAGTTACGAAAATTTCACGTTACTTGCACTTTTTATGAGGGAGAAGTTCCAATAAAATATTTATATTTAGGACTTTTAAACACTAAGAAAACAAAATTTTACCCAAGCTCAAAAATAGCTCGGTTAAAGTAATCACCACAAAAACACTGTCGGTGTAAAAAACACTAGCGCCAAATACATCCAATTGGGAAAGCATATTTTGCAAAATCACATCCATATAGTGGCGATTAATTGTACAAAATCAATGAAATCGGTTACTTTTGTCAAATACGTGCATCGGGTGTTATATGCAAAACAAAATTTTACGAAAATATACCGATAAAGTAATAATTGAGCTTATAGCAGGAATGAATCATTATTGCTAAACACCTATAGTATGTTACATTTAAAACAAAATATATCTCAAAAATAAAAAAGAAATATTTCACAATTCCATTTCACAAATTCGTATTTTACATATTAAAAAGTATAACATAAGATTGGTTGTGGCAACTAAGTAGGTTGGGTACTGCTACCGACTCGATCGGCCACGGTAACCTAATAAGTTTATTGCCGCAACAAAATGAATCGGTTACTACAGTCGAATAAGATTAGCTACCGTAACCGAGTAAATTGGTAATTTTTAATCATGAAGTTGTAGCCCAGTTTACTCCGTTAAATTCAGCAACGAAGTTTGCAGTTGCTATTATAGGAGAGTTTCTCGATTGTTTCAGCAGAAAGTTGGTTATACTTGACAAGTACATTTTCTTGGCGAGGGAGAATGCCTCCTTAACGAATCCGTTTTTCTTCGGCAATGATGCAAAAGTATTCTGGCTTACGAGATTAAGTATTTCACCTTGGCGAGTGTCGGGGAAGGGGTTTCCATTTACAAAAAGCGTTGTTGTATGCAGGGGCGAATTCAGACATAAAAATAAGTAGGCTGCGGCCTGGAGCGGTACATTTCACGCCGTGGCAATATTCGAAAGAAAGCGCGAACAACTACCTTATTACCGCTCCTTCTTTCTTTTACTCTATATGATTTATTTTTTCCTCTTTGTGTCAATACATTAGTGCCATGGTTATTGCGAACTAACCGCAGCGGAAGTGGAAATTTCTGAGATTTGCCTCGTTTAACAGCGTTAGCCCTCAGTTTACTACAATCAAGTCGGTATATTCACCCAGCTTCATTTCTATTTTACAAGAAGCAATGCTGATAAAAGAGGTCACGCGAAACCTTATCAAAGGTCTCATAATGTTTTCAGAAATTGTAGAGGGAGTTCTTTTTTTTTGCGGATATTGTATTTAAATGGTATCCCATTAGCGCGTGATATGGTATCGGGGTAAACTCGATACCCAGGGAGGATCATTGCTTAGACCGGCTTCTTATTAACATTAATTACGATAATTTATAAGATAAACATAATGAACATCGCGTTTAATGCCGATAAGACGTGGCACAACAGCCGAGGAATTATCAGGGAGTATGTATAATTTTCGCATGTCCAGCTGAGGAACACGGTAATCCTTTAATGATATCCTTTCATCTAATGGTGATTTTCTCCCCCCGAAGATGGGAGCTCACCTTTCGATTGAGTGATCCGTTTGTTTGAGTCGGGTTTATAATGTTCCTTGAAATCGATGGATTTATCATTTAATAATGATTTAAAGGCAATTTTGTGGCGATTCAGGGATTTCGCGGTATTCATGCACCTGCTGAAGGCCGCCATAGGAAGCGGTATACTCTTCTTACCCCAGGCCTTCCGACGAACCGGCTATGTGGCGTCTTTCGTATGCAGCGTCATTATCGGTGCCATATGCATTCATACTGCAGTTCTGACGGTGAGGAAATATCTTATGATCTTTGATGCGCCCATAATCACCTTGGCCCGTATTTAGAAGTAGCGAGGCGCGATTAGGGCTTCGAGATTACCGCAATTTAAATATCTATTACATAAATGCGCATTATTGGTAACATTGTAATTAGAGGCAATTTTCTCCGTAATTACTGGCCCATCTTATGTACGTATCGTTGGGAGCGGAGACGAAGAGCGTGATTGACAAGGCGTTTCAATTTCGTAAAACGCCGCGGTTTTGCATTCCGAGAACCCTCGCATCGACTTCGTGACGTTTCTCGATGAAATTGTCGATGATGCCGTTGACACGCTTTCTGCGTTCGTTGACCATTCTTGCTCGTCTTGACCGTGACTCCAAAATTGACAGAAAGTACGGTGCGCTCATGCCATGAAATAAAAGTACGCAATTCAAGATAGAACGAGTGGCCGTGAATGAGTACTCAAGAAAATTCGTGGCACGGCTAAAGATAAAATATGATAGCCACTTAAATGCCTGTTATACAAACAAAAATTCCATGGCATTTATTCGTGCAACGTACATTCTACTAAAGTTATCATTTTTAATAAAGCATTTCAAGACCGCGATAGAATTGCTTTGACACGCTTTACACGTCCATTGACAGTCTCGGCTTCTCCTGACCTTCGTGCCAAGATTGATCGTTCCTTCCTTGCATGTTGTTACATTCAATACCGCCCATTCGAAATATGATATACATGTAGTCGAAGTTTCTTCAAGGCACAATATTTGGAAATTTCGTATACAATTGTGTACGAGATTTTAGTACAGGTGTAAAGAAATCTCAGTGGGTGGAGTTTGAAATATCGGAACATTTTTAACACCGTAGGTGATCAATTTCGCCCCCACTTTAAATAACCACCCTCGACAATACTTTCTTCGGAAAGCATGTTCGAAATTGTTCTAATAATTTTTTTAGTTAATTTCTCGTTTCACGAATCATGGCTGGTGTTGCCACGGGGGTCAATCCCTGTCGAAATTGGCAAGGACCTCGATGACAATATTTATTCGTCACTTAGCGCGATCCTGGCTCGTCTTGACCCCGATGCCAAGATCGGCGAGGATTACGACGGACCCGTCGTCGTTAAACGAGACCGCCGAATACAAGGGAGAATATCTTGAATAATGGCCACTCGAAACTCGTTCCGAGGTGCAGGTGCAATGTTCGCAGGTCCTCTGCAAGCGTAGCCGGGTGCCCATGCTGGATTTCGCTAGCACGGCGGACACGGCCTTTCAGCTGGGCCCAGAAAAGTTTCGAAAGTACGCAACAACCTTCAATTTGGTGACCAACATCTTCGTCTGCTTCGTCCAGTATCAGACCACCGTGATTTACGCCCTTTACGTCGCCACTTCCATCGAGCAGGTGAGAGGTGATCCGCGGTCGCCTCGTGTCAGGTGCAGGTCATCCTGCTAAAAAATTCTAACACAAATAATGGAACAAAGTAAAAATAAGAAATCAGCGAGCCCTGACCCTAGTAACCCTAGTAGCACGGAATAACTACTAAATATTTCTTTGTAATCTTTGCTAATTATCTCAAGCGACAGATTTTCTAAGATGTCGTGTAGATTTCATTTGAATATGTCTAAAATATTCGTTAAAAATCTCAATGCCGTATTCAGTTCTAATAATTTATAAATATATATCAAAATTATATTATTTCATTTGTAAACATATAACAAATATACATTTTTTTACTTTACGATTATTATCGGACACTTCATTTGGTATCAAAAAACGCGACAAATTTTTGCAATATTTTCGTTCCGCTATTTCATTATGGCAGCAAAACATGCGATTTTTATTTTAAATATTTCCAAAACGTTTATAATGTATTCGGCAGATAATAAATAACAAATATTTATACTAAAATTAAACGAAATGTTTTGAAGAAATCAAGACTGCCATAGTCTTAATCTTGCTCAGTGGAATTAAAATTCGATCAGTTTTGCAATTATGATCATGCAAACGGCAACTCCAAGACCAAGACTACAAGATCAAGACCGATTTTGTTTATTACTAGTGGTCGCCATGCGCATTGGAAGTGAGACTTCTAAGACAGCCCTCTGTAGCCCAATTTTTCTTTTTCGAACAAAGAAAAATTGGCACCGGAACATTTTCAAAGATTAATCATCCAATATTACCCTACTACTGTTTGTAAATGTACAACTTATATATATTTTTATAAATTAAAATGTTTATGAACTAACAATTTACAAACAAATTCGCTTACTTACAAAGAAGTGGTACAATACTAGAAGGCCAGAGAGAATTACCAGATATTATTAATTATTCTTAATGATTTTTTTCACTAAAAGCGTCCTTACGTATTCGGTATTGATTGATTAGGATCTAATTTTTGTTTATTTGTATATCACTGTAAATGCCAGTAATCACCCGATAATAAAAGAATAATGCACTAACTCTAAAGGTAACGTTTGCACTCATTGTCTCAATACTAACACACAAAGATGAATGTAAATAATAATTATATCATATCATATATCTCATCAGTAATAAGCGACGATTTTAATGGCAACTTCATGAAGCGAAGGGAGGTTGATTGACCTCTTGGACAAGAAATTGAAATTATATAACGCTAAGGAAAACGGTAAAGCAAATTTTGTTTATATCGAAACGCAAAGATGAAAATATGTAGTAAGTAATTGTAAAAAAAATCGTTTCACTTCCTAAATCGGGCTCCTATCATAACGTGCGAACTTCCACGTATCATAAGAAGTTTCACTTAAAAACTTTTGCAGGTTGGGAGAACGAACTCTGCTGAGAAAAAGTTTGAGAAGCAGCGGATGCTTGGAACGATTGTTAATTTTCTTTCTTTGAATTTCAGATAAGTGCAGCTGATAATGTTTAAGCCTTAATCTTAAATTGATTTTCGGTTAATAATTGATATTTATGTTGATCCGTGTTAACGTATCCATCCACCAGGTGAGAGGTGTCCGATGATTTCCTTTTGTTCGTTGGCATGTAGGCCAGCGAAACCGAAACTGCATAAGAAAACCGAATACATAACATTTAGGAAGTGGAGCTTTGTTGCATCGCGGTGCGACTTTTTTCCGTTCTCCGCTTTCTATCTCAGTGTTAAATGTTTATATGTTAAAACTTATTATCTCTTTTGCGCAGGGTGGAGTAGTTCTATTCGCATTTTGAGGTATACGAAATTGTGTCCATTGTGGGGAAAATAAAATAGGCAAAGTTCTTTTGTAGCGTATTACCCCTCTCGGGTTGCTTTTCCTCTGATATAATCTGCAATTATAATTGATCGCGGCAGTCGTCTACGTCGCCGTCTCTGTGGAGCAGGAGAGAGGTGGCCAGTGATTTTCTCTTATTCCCTGGGATCCAGATCCACGAGCCGGAAATTGCATCAGAAAATTGGCTGCATAACTCTTAGGAAGTAACCAATCGGAAACTATAGAGGTTTATTTATTCGTAGTTACACGTTGAATTTTTTTCGCTGGATTTCAGGCTGAAGTCTGGAGCACATTTTGCGACCAGTCTACAAACTCTTAAAAAAGATGGTAACCACAATTTGTGTGCACTTTAATCAGAAATATAATCCATACATGCATTCGAAATCCTAACAATAGCTCTAAAAAAATATTCAGTACTCAAGAATAACTTCAGCTATTCCATATCTCTACAAAAAATTAACTTCTAAAGATAAGAAACAACTCCGCTCAGGGGTAGATGAAAATAGAATTTTAGTCTGCAAATATTAGCATAGATACATTGTCGGCAGAAAACAGTCTCCAGTGACATTGCACGTCGTGCAGACATTGCAAACAATCGTCGTTGACCACGGAGTCACAAAAAGTAAATAAGATTTCTAGATATACCTTGGTTTTTCGTATCGACAGGTGATCGGGTATTTTTCCTGCGGTATCCCGTACGCGTTCCTGCAACTTTTTCTGCCAATTTACCTGGGCTTGTCTTTAGTGCCAATACCAAACGGAGTCGGCTGTAGTGAAAGGAGGTACCAAGTACTTTAAATTGATACCTTTCACTATAACAGGCTCTGTTCTCCTGCCTTGGCGGAATTTTCGTCGCGATCTGCCGCATATCACCGAGCCGGATTCATTCACACCTCCTTGTAATCTCTTTCTCTCGTTTCCTGCATGTTCCCGATAGATCTTCACGGTCTCCACTTTTCCCTTGCATTCATGAAGTGATAAATTGTTCTAGTTATTCTCATTTACAGGTAATCGAGCATTTCTCTGGAGTTAGCCTGGACATCCGAGTGTACCTAGTTCTTTTCCTGCCGATCTACCTGGGTCTGTCTTTGGTGCCAAACTTGAAGTACTTGGTACCGATCACCATCATGGGCTCCATTTTCCTGGCAGGCGGGATTTTCGTCAGCATTTATTACTTCTTCTCCGATTTCCCGAGTCCAGCGCGTCTTCGTCAGTTTACGGATGTGTATTCTACCTCGGTCTACTGCAGCATCTTCATGTTCGCTGTCCACAACATGTCCATATTGATGCCCCTGGAAAACACCATGAAGAATCCTGCCAACATGCCCTCCATCTTGGGCTTCGGCATGGCTCTTAATGTGGTAGTCTACGTCTTCTTCGGATTCCTCGGCTACAACAAATACATGGACGCCTGCGACACGGTTATCAAGAATCTGCCCTTGGAGGAGATGTAAGTCCGGGAAACACGTATCGGCAGATAATTCTGGTAGCAGACTCGAGGAAACGATGTCAAGCATTCGCCATGTAAGAAGCGCCAATCTTTGTCGAGATGCGTTTTCCGGTATCGTTGCGTTACCGTGAACTCATGAATTCACAATGGACGTCGACCTTGGACTCGAGTAATTGCTGTAGTTCGTACATGCTAGTCGAACTGTCGTGATATGAGGAAGCTGGCACGAGTGATGAACAGTGATCACAGATTTTTAAGCGAAGAATTCTGATTTATTGAAAAGACAATTACTTGGGATTGAATAATTGTTTACAGTTCATATGTGCTACTTGAACTATCGTGGTATGGGGAACACTAAAAGTGGAACAAGACATGCTCTGTAATCAGACATTTTTAACCGAAGAATGTTGATTTGTTGAAAAAACACTTATCTGCCGATTGACAATGCCGTTGAGTGGAAGGAAAATATTTGGGCTTGTCAGTGACACATGCTGTCACTTGGATAACAGTTAGACCGCTCTACTTACCTTAATAGAATGTGGCAGTCTCAAAACCACTGCCACAATCATCCCAACAATGGGTTTGTTTTTGTTGCTTGTACTTTCTTTACTTCCGAGAACCGTGTAAACCGATTTGACGTGGATTTTAATTAAGTGAACAAAACTTGCAGTTCGCGGGTCGACAACGCTCGATAAAGGAGCGAAATTCATTAAAGTTATAAATTGTTTATTCAGAAATGCCACAAAAATAGGGCTATTGAAAATTATAATCAATGTACGGATAGGAAAAATTCCCAGTGCTATCAACGAATTAATTATCGTACTCATTAAATTAAACGTCAGTTAATATCACGCCGATATAAAAGGCCGACAAAGCGAAACTTCAAACTTTCCTAATCTACCTCTGCTTTACCATGATGTATTTTGAGACGTGCACGATCGTATCTACTACAATCAACGATAATGAAATTACAACTTTGAGATTATAATTTCTTGCCGTCATTTCCCTCCCATGATAACATCGGGTATTCACCCGGTCATTAAGGTGATGTGAAAGTGCTACTTTATCGAGTGAACTTGACGAATTACAGATATCCACTGCCACACGGAACAAAAGCTCTATTATATGTATATAAAACGTTTTCATGGCTACGGGATGTTGCAGTATATCAGAAGTTAAAAATATACGTATAATATATGTTCATAGAATGTCAACAATTTTCTATTGGATTTTAGATGCACATTCTTTTTTTGTGTTATTGCTGTCTTACTCGCCGAAACCTTTAATTTATTTTGCTTGCGTATTCAATTGATTGTCGTCCTTTCACCGTTTGAATATTTTTTTCGCAAATTTAGTCTCTAATATTTCCTGATTTAATTTAGTTCCGTGTAGGTTTTTGCGTACGTGCAAATCTTAATTTTCGCGTGGTCTTTAATTTGATTAATATTCTTGTCCCGTAGTCGAGCCCAATCTTAGTCGAAAATATAGCTTCGCGTAGTTTTTTTGGATTTTTGGCTGTCTAAAGCCACCATTTCTTTTCCGTGCGCTTCGCCGCGCGCATCGTCCCTTCTAGCGCGAGCGCGCGCTTCGTCGTCCGGGCCGGTACCGGATTATGGGCCCGCCTGTGGCCATTTTGGGTGAAATTGTTAAAGTCAATTCTTTTTCGTTTGGTATAAATACGTCATTAATTTAATTCCGCCTCTGGTTTGCTTTTTTTTTGAAAGGACCCCGCCCTCTCCGCGGTCGCTTGGACGTACTGAGCTAGCCCGGTTTATTTTTCGTCGTCGGCGACGCTGTGTCTCGTCTCGTATCGCTACCTTTCGTTCAATTTTTACGTGTCTGGGATTTTAAGATAATTTTGCTTCTGTTAGTTGAGGGACCGACCCTTCGGGCCTTACGCTGGTGCGAATCCGTAGGCGGGTTGGGAGGCTCATCGCTGGTGCGTGAGCTCCCGTACGCTGGTGCGAGCCCCGACGGATTGGGCCCGTGCGAGTCGGGTCCCAAATTAGCCCTTTGGAGGGCCTGGCGCCCAAAATTTTGCTGCTGTTGAGTGACTACGAGATGGAGACCCCATTTTTGTAGACTATTTATTTGTGACTTCACCAGAGGGTCGGAACGTTAATTGCCAGAACTTTGTTTGGGAGTTATACTAGTATAATAAAAAAATATATATACACTATATATACACTATATATATATATATATATAGTGTTCTAAATATTATATATATATAACTTATATACATGTCCTTATTTTTGGCCACAGATAGGGAATATTAATGATATTGAGTAACCCAAATTTTAATTAAACTTATTACTGTGGTGTTTTAATATACGAAACGTGTCGCATAATCTATAGGACTACGGTAGCTCAGTGGTCAGCACTATTATAGTCTGTTACCTAAATGATTCGGGTTCGAATCCCCGTCACCACGATCGGGATTTTTTCAACGTCAGATGTTTGTATATCTCGAAGATTTCAGGTCCCTGAACAGATCGTGGTAAAATTGTTTCTAAAAAATATGCATTTAGTGCAAAATAAATAATACTTTTTTAAATTATTCCACCTACATTTGGAATACGTCTTATATATGTATAAAATACGTATAATATTATACGTGAATAATATGTCCAGTGTACGGCTGTTGAACTTTTGAATATAGGCATACCATCTATTGAAACTTTTATTTATTGGTTTATTATACGTATATACGTCTGTGTCAGATATCTTATATACGTCTACTATACATAATACGTCTACCATCTTGTTTACATATAATATACATACTTTATCCATATGGAATGTATATTAAATGAAAGTTGAATGTTCAAAAATACATATACTATATGTTGACGGCGCGGGCATTTGTACATGCCCCAGCACATGCCGTATACTCTTGTATATCATCTATTACACATCTGAATGTTTTAGCCAGATATCCTATATACGTATACCATATGTAGTTGTTCCGTGTGGGCTGTAATCGATAGTTGGTGCATAACACCATTTCATCTTCATCCGTATATAAACCAGATCGATTATTCAAACCAACTTATATGCACTGATAATAATACCGGTACCACTCCAAATTATGTAATTATTTTTTTGTTAATCCTATTCTACAGTCCGGCACAATTGGTGAAGGTCGCTATCGCGGTTTCAGTGATGTTCACTTACGGACTGCAATACTTCATTCCGATCTCTATAATCTGGCCGATGATTGCAGAGAAGTATCACAAGGGCTACGCCCACGAGCTCGCCTTTCGCCTTGGTGGAGTCCTAATATCCAGTAAGAAATTAAAAATTATCTTAACTCTCTAACTGCTCTAATGTTAGCAAGGTGTGGCATCATTATTCGAAGAAAAAAGAAAATTTAATGCATAATACACAGACAAGGAAGTCAGGCATGTAATTTTCGATCGCAAGTAGAAACAGTCTGACGAATCGATTGCGCTAATGTGTAGTGTAAAAAGAACGTCTGTGGCTAACTGCTATATCTCCTTATGCAATATTCTATTGTACGTTTTACCGGCATATCAGATATAACCAAATGTCCTTATTTCAAATGAGGCATGTAAGTCAATTTCTTCACGAACTAAAGAAAAAACACTTCCATCTTATTAATCGGATTACATAAATTTTATCATTTTTTGTGCAATTTTCTTATAATTATATAGAGGGATCTCCCTGTGACCATCTGCAATCCCCAACTTCTGTTGAATGTTTCTTTTATTTTCGATCAAAGTATTATTACTCCTCACGATCTGTGGCCCAGCCCAACTTAATCTATTTAATAACAACCCAGCCATCAAACTCGACTCTAATGTTTGGTCCCGTTATACATATCAACTCGCATTCGAAAAAGAGTACAATCTAGCGTGTGTTCATTAGAGATCTTAACCAACTAACCGGGTTAACCTCCTATCTCGTTCTATTGCATTGACGTAGAATGAGATAGAGAAATAATCAAACATGCTCATATCTGCAACTAACAGGATTCCAATGCGACAGAATCAGATGGAAGACTAACCTGGTTAGTCGACTACAATAGCCGATATCCAATTGCCACACATCCTCGCATTTACGTATCAATGCGCTTTCTGGAAGTGACAATATCATCATATTTCACTGTTTCCGGGTCGATGCGGATTATGCTTAATTTACTGTAGATAAAATTAAATGTGTGTAGCCTTTAATTTCACAGTGATAAGGGTTACATTTGACTTACAAATTTGATTCAAGGTCAAGTCCAACACGCGCCCGTTGCCGTTATTATTGTCTTTTTAAGTTTCCGGGTACTGTTTCCCTTTCGCTCAATATTTTGCTAGTGTTAAAATAGCACTTTCCTCCGCCCGTACGCAAAGTAGGTACTTCGCATGCCGACTTTACCCGAACTGGACCGACTGCTATTAAATGCTATTTGTAACCTTATTGATGTTTTGTAAATCAATTAATTCTTTCGTGCCTTGATTTGGACATATCCGATGTTCACGATATGATTAATGAACCGTCTGTCGCAAAAGGGTTAATTAGGCCACGAAAAAATTATACCGTATTAATTTTTTCTTGGCCTAAACCGTAAAACATTTAAGGAGAGAGGGGCGTAGAAAAAACGTTGTATGAACCTCGAGCGAAATCCATTGTTTATTAGCACTTGCGCGGCAAACGGTTACTTTTCACATTTGGTGCATAAATAACTATTTCTTGTTGAGGGAGTTACAGGTGAAGTTCTTTGATTTGCAGCACTGATGGCTATTGCCGTACCTCAAATGGCATCTTTGTTAGGGCTTTTTTCGGCATTAAACATTTCCACGGTCATGCTTCTTATCCCTGTGATGATCGAAACTGCCACCAAATGGGAGCGTGAAAATAGTTTCCAGCGCAAGTGCCTGCTGGTCAAGAACGTCTCCATTTCTGTCCTCTGGATGTTCTTAATGGTGAGTCAAGAAAATAAATAATTAAGGGGGTACTCGCCTATGGAAGCCATACAAAATTTGTTTTTCTCATAGGAAACATTACGCAAATAACGTGAAATTGTTGTGACCTATTCATAAGTTCATTGAGCAACTGTTTTCAAATTTTCATTGCAACATATTGAAATCAACAAATTTAACGACATTTTCTGTGACCCATAGTCAAGTATTTGATGAACATAATTACCATGATTTAAGATGTTCTACTAATACTAAATGGTTGAAACAAATTTTTTATTATAATCAGAAAGGTTCTGGCTGCCACCCTTTTCAAAATAAGAAAAATAATTTTCATAAAAGAAATAGCGGCTAAAGATAACACTTTTTTATTTTTCACTCCTTTCTTCACTTTTATTGGTAAAAAAAGCAAAATTTTAAATGGATTAATTTTATTGAGATGGAGGGGACAGTGAATGTATTTATGCATCAAATGAGATGAAATAGAAATCAACTTGTTTCCCCTTGAAATGTCATGGGAACTAACATGAAAAGTGCAGTTGTAAGAAAAAGGTATTTTAAGGTTTCGGTCTGACTTCTATATCAGCGGTCAAATGTTTTTACTTATGTTTAATTACCAATTTCGGGGCCATATCAAAACCCTTCCTGTCACTGAAAAAATCATTCTGTGAATTTTTACGAATTTGAGTACCTTTTCATTTAATTTTTCTTTTGATCTCTTTTTCTTCGACCAGTGAGAGCTCAGCTTCAAATCGTTCCAAGTTCCAGAATTGTCTACTTTTTCAAATAAGTAATGCGTAAAAAAAAATAAACATCTACTTTCTCAAAAGAAAACAAGCGAGTCCCCCCTTAAAATTACAGCTGGTTTCCCTCTTGGGTGAAAATGACAAACTATGGAGTTACGTTAATGTAACATCCAATTATCGATGAAAAGAGAATATTATAAAATGATCGTCTATTTAGGTATCTGGAGCGATTGAGAGTTTGAAGGACATAATCGAAACATTCCGCGGCACCACCGAGAAAGAGTCCGAGATCTGTAATTAATATATAATAACTAATTTATATATCTGAGCATTAGTTAATTTCACACTTAATAATCGGATACCACCGGTTGTCATTTTAAGGGATCACTGTTATCGGTCCAATTGCGAAAGAACGATATAAGAGTTCCTTCCAGCCTATGATATTACAAGTAAATTATATAAGTTAATAAGGGATTATTACTCTGTAGGAATAAAAATGTTATCTGCACACATGGGACATTCATTTGTATGCGAGAAACGGAATTTTACAACTTCCGTTGCATTTTCGGGCAGACGAGTGTGAGAGAGTTTCATTGGCATAGTTGTCAATCTTTGTTGGATTGTCTCTTGATTAACGTGTCGATTATTCAGTGAGAGGAACTAGAACTAGAAATTCCAGGGCATGAGATGAAGTCTGATTATAAACAAAAAATAGTATAGCACTAACATAAAAATATAATTTTACATGACATTCCAAGTTTTTCGTAAAGGGCTACACAGTAGATCAAAGTACCAATCTAACGGCTAAAAAGTCAGCATCGACGTAATTTCTTTTTGCACTGTATTTAAGAATTATTATTGTCCGAGTATTAATCTTAAATTTGAATAGTACATCAATGAATATCACAAGTGGTTACGTACCACAATGCTATGAATTTCATCGAGACTCTAAATTACTTCATTCGCAAATTACCACTTATTTCATTGACTTATTGGAAAGAATACTTAATTACTTATCATTTACACATGGAGTAAACTGCCACGATCTGCCTATTTCTCTTATATCATATTTTATGGTTTCAACTTTGCTTCTGAGGTGAGTGCTCTTTGAAGATTGGTATCAGCAACATGTAAAAAGAATGAACTTTACCGTTGTTAATGATAATATTGCTAAAAAGATAACTCGATTAATAATATTAGACAAAGATTCCAGAAGAATTGAACAAGCTCGTCAACATTTCGCCAGAAATCGACGTGAATAGTGGTATAATGTAAAAGAAACCATCGAAGTTATTGAATTACGCAATATAAAGTAGACAAATGCTAATATTGTTTTAATTGGCGCGATTTCGAATACAGAATTTTCTACGGAATCTTATCATCTTATCTGAACTTGTAAAACCACGCAAGACCATGGCCAGAAGCAAAACTTCATCTAGTGCATTCATTCGAACAAGTGTTGGCTTTACAAGGTTTTTATTGTTCACAAATATTTAAGTTAGGAACACCTGAAACCTGAACGGTAGATATCATTTTGTTAACATATCTTTGTTTTTCGAATTTCAAAAATGTTATTGACTCCTTAAATAATACATGCTTCGTATGACCATCCCCTTGATTACACTATAAAGCAATGTCTAAAAGCTGCATATCTCACATATTTGCCTCAAGAAACAACATTAGATCGATGCCGACTTTTTATCGAACTGTAGGAAAATCAGTTAATAAGTTGCCATGATTTTAGTCTAATTTAATTGTAATAAAACGGCCTGGATGACTTTTCAGTTTTTACGTAACTGTCGCGATCAGACATCGAATTGACTGTCATTTCCCTCAGCAGATCTTCTAAGTAGATACCCCAATCGGCGCGATTACATGCACGAAAATGATGGTACCCGTTGAGGTGAAGTGAAACCCCCCTCAAATCAGTCGTTTCGAATACGACACTTTTTTTAAGGGTATTGAATAGAACTATAGTATTTGGATATTTAAAAAAAATTTTTTAACTTAGTCCAGACCAGAACCAAATTGGCGTCGAGCTCTCACATTTCGCGTGATATTCAATTATTGAAGGCTCTAATAATGTTTTACCGAGAGTGACTCTTTCGTCCTCGAAGAAGAATCCTGGAGAAGTCGAGGATGCGTAGGTTTCTTCGTCAAGTAGTCGTCCTTCCAAGAGATAGGTCATCATTAATCTTGGATGTACGGCAGAACTTCTACCTGGTCCATCGATTATCGGTCGTGTCAATGCCAAGGTAAAGAAACGCTCAAAGAAAGTGACGATTAAGTGGTTCCAACACCAAACGTGAGATCACTAGCGTGAACCTGGAAGGAAGATGACGCTGGATAGTGTATTCGTATATCTGCATGTGTTTCTCGTTTGACGAACCCTGCGCAGCCAGACATCGAGTCTCCTTCTTCGGGTATTCGTCCTTGCGGGAGATAAGATCCACGTTAATCGAAGGAATCAAGTAGAATTTCTACCCGGTCTATTGATTACCCATTAAGTCAGTGCCAAGGTGAGGAAATGTTGTTTGAAAGTGACCAGCATACGGTCGCCGGGGCCATAAGGCCGTAAACGGGAGCAATCGCCGGAGACGAATCGGATCGTATCGCGGAAAGCTGATTCGCACGTTTCCCAGAGTACCTCTTATCGATTGCGACCACTCGAAGAAGACATGGGGTCCATCTCGAGTACCCAAAAACCGATCCGTGTTAGTTAAAAAATAAAGAACGGATCGATTCGAAGATGACTGAAAATAACAGAAGGATCATTGCGCGTTTAAATACAAGGTCTACCCCGCGAGGAGCGATCCAGTAAGACATTAACCTTTCATCACGGAAAGGCAGGGATTTATCCGAAGGTCACTCTCTCCAATTGACGTTTCCTATGTCCTTGAAGGGGACTTCGGACCCATTTCAAGAGTGGTCAAGTTCCCGCGTTAATTTATAAAAATGATTGAACCGAGAATAAATCCATAAATTATACAACCGAGAATCAATGCGCAATCCAAAAGCTTGCAGAAGACCCAAATACAAGGTCCGAAAAACGAGGAGCTTCGACTGTCCGTCAGAGGACACCTGACCGTATTTGGAGGTATTTCGCTCCAATCGATTCCTTCGACATCGTTGAAGGGGACTTAGGGCCCATTTCAAGAGTGCCCGCGTCTCCGTATTATCGAGGAAAAATAAAGATAGGCATAAATCATCTCGTTCTAACGAAGAAAATGAATCGTCTTGAAGATCAATTAAAAAAGCTCGCAGGGGACCCGAACGTAAGGCCCAAAACGCGAGAGCTCCGACCGCGCGTCCCAGGACGCACGGCCGTATCTGGAGGTATCTCTTTTCGATCGACGTTTCCCACCTCGCCGAACGGGACGTCGGGCCCCCTCCTTGGGTAATCGTCTTTGCGAGAGATAAGTCCCTTGCTGCCGGTAGCACCGAGGTGCATGCATATCGGTATATATGTCGGCCGCCGGCGAAGACACTCGGCCAGTGCTCCTCGTGGTCGCGCGCGGTTGCTCGTAATTGTCCCGGGGCCGGTGTACATCGATTCGATTGGCCGGTGTGGCGCAACGAGCACTTTCACATTGGACCCAGGGAGTTTCCACGAGGCGGCGAGGACACGCCGGAGAGCTGCATTAATCTCCGCGAGGTAAGCGAGCTAAGGACGTCGCGTCGCGTTCCTCCAGCACTCGTCCCAGGACCTCCTCCTAAGACCCCATAAGGCCCGTAAGGCTCAAATAGGGCCCAATGTCCGGCGGGTCCTGACAGACCGACCCTTCGGTGCATTCTTAAACGAGTCCTTTGCGCAAGTAACGATACGGAAAATTGGGCCTTTACGCGCTTGGGAATGTTCGCGAATTCGTGATCCGGTTCCTGGGTAGCGGTCGGTTCTGTGAAAGGAGGAAAATAAATCTCGGTCGTACTCATTTTCCCGCGTGTTTTTGGCACCTTGGCAGTAGGAAGTACTCCAGAAAGAATTTTTAGTGCCGGTGTGGTTTCGGTCGGAAGAGGGACCGTAAGGCGCTTCTAGAACGGAGACAGCGACGAGCTGCTTAACCGAGAGGTATGGCGACAGCATATAATTCGTGTTAACCCTTTAGCTACCACTCGAGGGGCTATTCACTCGGAAATCAATGAAAACGATTTTCTTTTCGGAGAACCGCTTGCGTTTGATTTCATTTGATAAACGACAATGTCATTCGGTAACAAGTGATGTTCGGCTTTAAAATCGTGACGATGTTTTGGTCATTTCCAACGATCTCCAGTGATTTCTGCATGCAATTTCAAACTAATTGCCACATGATTTCTAGCATTAAAATCCATGATTTCCTGATTGAATAACCCCTCGGTATCGCCTGTACGGACAGCTCTGCCGCGAATCGACGATATTCATCTGCCCCTTTGAATGCAAGATGAAGAAAAGGACCACCGTAATGGTTTTCGTTAAAAAAAAAACCTCACTAGGCGGAAAGTCCCTGCAGTGCCATTATGTTGAAAAAAAACTTCACTTAGAGGGAAGTCACCGCAGAGGTGTTTCGTTGAAAAAAACGTCACGTTTTCAGCGATTTGTTAAAAAAAAAACGTTACGTAGAAGGAAAACCACCTCAGGGGCGTTTCGTAAAAAAAACGTCATTCGAAGGAAAACCAGTATAGGAGAATTTGGTTAAAAAAATGTCAGAAGGAATTCACTATAGTGGCTTTTTGTTAAAAAAATTATGACTCAGGAAGAAACTATATGGAGTAGTTAGAGGATTAACTTAAACCTTAATTAATGAGTTTACAAAAATGGTAAATGTACAGAATGGATGCTGTTGTAAGTAGCCACGAGATTTAGCCGCCCATCTCATTAATCTTTTACTAAAAAGTTTAACCGACGATAATATTTCAAACATTGGGAAAGTTTTACTTCCTCCCCCGAAACTTCTTAAATCTTATTCATATGAGTCTCGACGGTCCCTCAACCATGAATAGCAAACACAACGGAAATAACTCATTCTTTTTATGGTCCTTGACGTAAGAATTGCTGAAAGGTAAATAACCCTTGAATCCTCATGTCACTCTTACGTCACCTATTGATCGAAAAATATAATAATAATAATTCAGATTACGTGGGCGTGAAACATCTCTGGAGGCACAAGACCCATTACGTGATCGATTCTCGTTAACCCTAACAAATACTCTTAAATTAAGGTGAAGTGAAACACCCTTCAAATCAGTCGATTCGAATACAACACTTTTTTTTAAGGGTATTAGACCAAACTGTGCGAAACTTTGACACATCGCTCCTGATCATCTAACAATTGTCCTGACACATTCAAAATTTGGATTTTTCCAACAAATTTTTCAACTCAGCTCAGATCAGAACCAAAATGGCGTCGAGCTCTCATATTTCGATCAATATACAATTATCGAAGGCTCTGATATGAGAATCGAAAGGGTTAGGACAATTTTACGACAATTTAGAACACTCTGGTAGTCGATAAACTCGCATTTGAACGGGATAAAGGTAAAAAAAAGTGTTGTATGCGCTTCTATGCTAAAACGATGGTAATACGAGGTCTCGGGGTGAAATTTTAATTAACCTGGAAATCACAGATGGCGCAAGGTGTCCCTCTGCAGTCAATTAGGGTCCCACAAAGTATGAATCCAGAGGATTTCTAGAGTTTTACTTCAATTTCTTTATAATTATTGTACGAAAACGACAGGTGGAGTATGCCTTTTGGTACAATACCCAATATAATTCGATACAGCTGTCAATATAAAAACGAATGTTGGCAGCGTAGGCATTTAGAAAAATCTTCTATAGCGACGTCGATCAAGTTCCTCGACGTGTTTCACTTCACCTTAAGAATGCCATCGTCGTTTCCTATACACACTTCTACTTCATACTTTCAATACATTCAATTCGTATTTTCAAAATGATATAAACTATTCTCAATATATCAACGTTTGCCTTCGTATATTTCATCCATACTAAATCCCTGTTCACGCAGAAAAATAATTCATAGTCATAATAATAAAATATTACTTCCTTCAGAAAATGTAAACACTCGAAAATGGGCCGGGAATATTTTTTAGCAAACATTTGTTCGCTCTCTGGACAACAAATAAACAATTACTTCATTACCACATATTGTATACTCATTGTTACAATATCCTTTACTAGCAACAACAAAATGTATATAGCTCATTCGATTGGGTACTGACAATAATATTATTTTGGTTTTTTCTTTACAAATTGATTTGATTTGAGTTTATTCGAGTCAAGTTAAGGAAATACTTCTTCGGTACTCTTCAAAGAAATATTTCTTTGGTTCAATGAATTTATTTTCTCAGTGTAAGAGTACAAATGTTTGTTTTCTCTGTGAAAAACAATTTCACGCCGTAATTCAAAGTGGTGTCGAATTTGAAAAAAATAGTTTTGTGCTTTCTGCGTTTTTATACTATCGGTGCATCCTCGGAAGCGAACAACGTGGCCTTGCGTTATCTCGGTGAGGACGGGTTCGACCTCGCAAAAGGTAATGCCTCCCTTACACGTATGTTATTTCTACCAATGTCGGGCAATCACAAAAAGATTGCCGACTAATTAGCATACGACCGTCATCCTAACGTGCGATAAATCGCCGATGAGTGCCGACGCATCCAAAGTCACCTCGCGTGGCCTTTCTAACGCCTTGATGTGCTACTCTGTCGAATGCCGATCACACTTTTCAAGTCGAGTCGGCTACACAGAAGTCTCAATAGCAAATACAAACGACGTTCCCCTACATAGGCACACGCCATTTTCTCTCGATTACATAAACATTTTTTAATATTTGTTCTTTTAAGTGAAACTTATGGCACGATAGTACTTTAAGTTCCTACGTTAAGAAGGGAGTTCGTGTCGGAAAGCAAAACGCTTTTTTTACAGTTAATTACTAATTATATTCATCTTTGTGTCTTAGTAATAACACAATTTGCATAAACGTCTTCGTTAGCGTTAGTGCGTTATTCTCTCGGTTAATGATTGATATTTAAACTAAAATAAAGATAATACAAGTGAGGAATGAAAAATAATTGTGCCCAAAACAGCCAGTACTGAACGCGCAATGGCATTTCGTGAAAGAATGATTAATAAGAATTAATAATCTCTTTAATTTAGAAATTTCACTTCCAACACGCGTGAAGCCCACGCATCGTTTTTCTTTAAGCTTTCTATTACCTGAAGAAAAGTTCCCCGTTGCAATCTTATCATACGACCATTTCTGTCACGTTTATATGGTAAATATTTATTTGCCACATAACTTGTGTGGGAGGATATAAAGGTAAGATATTGTCTAAAGACAACATCGAATTCCGGTTTCGAAAAAAATAGGAAAGAAATGTTTATTTTGTCTCTTCTACAATTTTTTATTTATTTAATCTACGCCAAAGGCTACAATAGCTGCCCGATAACCGGTTGCAGAAATAATTTATGGAATTGAAAGGACGCGTTAGTCACAGTAGGACGTATCCTTGCAGTGCCATTGAATCGCGAAATCTCAATACCTCATTAAGCATACCGTTCGAGGACTTTTAAAACCGTCAATGATCATTACACAAACGTCCGGGTACTCTTAATTAATTTCTCGCTTATGTGTATTATTAGTAACGGGATGTCATAATAGCTCCATAATGAATATAAAATACTTTAAAATTCCTGGAAATCTGAAAAATTGAGATTTCATAAAGTTAAAGATAAAAAATATTTAACTTCAAAACGCTACATCAATTTTAAGTCTTTCCAGGATGTCAATTGCTCTTCTCTGGTATGTAATTGTCTTATAACGTTTATACAGCCTGCATATAGATTTGGAATTTACGTACCAGTAAGACCAATATTATGCCGCGAGATGTCATTCAGTCAGTGTCAGTGTTGAACGAAATATGGCTATTATTTACGTATTTTATATATTCATAGTATTTATACGATATGACGAAATGAGTCAAACAGGCATCATATGATATCGGTATTTAACAATGGCATGTTGCGTTGTTAAAAAACGGTTATCTAGAAAACTTACAGAGTGTAAAAGAAGCAGAAGGCTTAAAGCAAGTGAAATATATAAACAAGGTCTTATTTCCTTACATCGGCTCAGTTAGTGTTTCCGCATTCCGATTAGTGCTTTTTGCCCGCGGTCTCAATACCTCCTGAAATCGACGGTGCAGATCATTGCCGAAGGAAAATCTTTGGCCTCGGCCTTGGATTACTTACATTTACATTTACCGTGTATAAATACAACAAAGCCCTAGCCGATAAACAGGTTAACACGAACACTTTCTGTTTTAATAGATTTTACACTGATTCCGGCCTCATGAACACATTCGCGACCGCTGACGTGAATTCACGTCTTTTCAAGTTCTTTTCTTGATTGCCGTTGACGTGAATTCACGTAATTTTAAATTCTATTCCTGATTGCCGCTGACGTGATCACGTCCTTTAACGATACAAGTTTGCGGCAACCAGTTTCAGAATTTCATTATTTTCGCCGGTACTCAGTATTTGAAACGGAAAAAATTAGCCGGTCGCGAATGTGTTAACACTCGCGATAAGGCCCATTTCGCGTGCTTCCTAGACGGAAAATTTCCACCTACTTGACTTTCCTTTCGTCAAAGCCTTCAACTGACGCATCGTAAGTATTCGGTAAATCTGGAATTACCTCAGAGAAAAGATAAAGGAATAGAATAATTAAACAAAATAAATTCCATCGATCAAACTCGCGAGTATCGCGGATACTTCTTTCTTTCTCCGGCAACAAGATCAAGTGAATTCACATAAATCAGCATTAATCGATTAGCGGCATAATTAGAGCAGACATTTAGTCGGAAATGAAAACCTTGGGGAAAACCCTTTCATTAGTCGATAGGTTATCGAATCTCCCCTTCCGTTTTCCCAACGTCGGGGTGCGAAGCCCGAGATAAACGAAAAGGATTACATTTGACGCAATGGCGGCGATGAGTCATGAACGATAGACTATTTATCGTCTAGTTGATCGATTATGCAACGAAGTGTACTATCTTGCAGGTCGTCGATAAATAATGCCCCGATTGCGTATTGACTTTTTTCCTTTTTTTAAGTGAAACTTCTTATAACACTGTAATACGTGTAGGTCCGCATGCCACAAAAGTGATCCATTTCAAAAAGTGAAACGCCTTTTTTACAGTTAATTTCTATTTATGTTCGTTCATGTGTTCTAGCATTGGCAGAATTTGCGTAAATGTTTTCGTTAGCGCTATTTAATTTTAATTTCGTTCAGTATCGAACGCATAAGGATAGCTTTCATGCCCTCACTTTTTATTTCCAGGCCACGGAACGCAGAGCTGGCAATCACGAACCGGTGGCGGCCATTTTTCAGGAAACGACTGAACTTCCGGAAGCCGCAAAATGGGCAAGAAGGACGTCGAGGCGCAGGAAGCTCCTGCCGAGCCGATGACGGATTTTGGTAGCAGGTGCGCCATCCTTTACCGATTCCTGGTATTCTACGATGTAGTGCACTATCGATTGCTAAAAATCGAAATTATGAAACCCGGGTTTCGGGATGCTGCAGAAGTGAGGAGGAAGGGAAACGTAGGTACCGCATGATTAATTGCTCGATTAATTGCGTTTTATTTGCTTTGCAACTGATGCTGTACCTTGGAACTACTTGTAAACCGAATCGTCGATAAAACGATCACGAGAGGGTCTTGTGGATCAAAGATCGACATTTTGGGATTTTCCTGTATTCCACGTGCACCTTAATCAATGCCGATAATGCGTCGATGACGTTGACGTACGCTCGTTAAACTTTGTCTCCAAAATGTGCACTACGGTTCAAGTTTTCTCTATTTTTATTTTCCTCTCGCGTTTGTATTTCTTCGGGATAATCATGGGAGGGGAGATTTTTATCAACGGAACTTTTTGATACTGTATGAATTATTCGAATCGAAGTGCCACAAGAATGGATGCAAATGCGATATCTAAACGCTTAATGTTTTGCAACCTGTAAGTAGGAGAACCGGTTCATGAGGCACGTCGTGAATTATACGCTGATATCTGTACGTAGCTTGGCACTTATCTAGAAAAACTTCATTTGTCGTGCAGAATGCGGAGATTAAGAGACACGGTAGGATCTCGCGCCATGTACACACGTCTGCGGACCACATGGCCTCGACCACGAGCGTTTTCAAACGCGCACTTGAATCGTTCACCTTCGATAGATGTATTAATTGAATATCAATTAGGAATTTCAAAGTTTGAGGTTATTGCACATTTATAACTGGCCGAATGTTCGAGGTCAGCTACGTGCGTTGTTGATTAACATTCGGAAGAATGCTTTAATACGAAATGTCGCCCTGATAACGATAGCACCGACGAATCTGACAAGGATCGTGATTAGACCCAACAGTGCCTCGAAAAATGTAGATCGGTCAGATAAAGCTTTCTGGGGTTTCGTCTGCGCGTGGCCTTTGTCGTCGAAAGACTTGGAACAAAAAGAAGATCGAAAGAATTCGATTACCTTTCCGATTCGTGAGATATCGAATCGACGTCGAAATAGGTCACGTAGGTACCGGAGGTTTTTAAGGACGGGGGGGCGAGGGGAGGAGTACCTCTGACACCGAATGATTTGTCTTAGGATTTATTTTAAATATTCACAATTCAACGTTAACGATTCCTTTTCCTTTACAGTGCCAAAATAACGCCTGCTATCATTGGCGAATTCGCGGAGAAGGATGAGATCTACAATCCCTTCGAGTTCAGGGATAAAAAGAACACGAACTCGTAAGTATTGTTGTATTTAGTTTCGTAATCGAGAATGTACATATTTTCTTTTTTATCAGAATGTCTTGAATGAATATCTTGGCAACGAGATCTAAGATAGAGGATGCGAGGAAAGGCGTATATCTACTTTTGAATGGGAGCTTCGATTGCACTATGTGTTACATACTTCATATAGAGACATAAACATTTCCCCGTATTAGTTAATTTTAAGTGTCTTAAAGAACAACTTCTTTGAGTTTCTAAATCAAACTGTTCGTAAGCTATGCTAAGGATTGCACATAATCGCCGAGGTCGTTAAAGTTAAACGTCAAAAGAATTTTTTTTCGTTTATAAGGTTTCATAGGAGAATGAAATCTAAAATAAGAAATATGCTACGAATGCGTACGTGAACTTTTGAGTAGGAAGTCGGATACCAGCGTGGCCTATGTTTTTTAATCAGGTACCCAATGTCAATAGGGTATTTTACAACAATGCCGAATAATCAGGTAGGTATTTCATACAAGAACGCTAATGACGTGCTTGCTACGCACATCGGTCAAGAACTTAACTAGTAAGATGTACTTACAGATGTAGGTCGCGCACTTTCCGAGGTAATTACGGTGAATTACTGTAAGAATCGCGGAATTACTAGATTGTGAGGTAATTGCTAATCATCACAACAATTGGCACGTAGCACTGTCCTCTTATTGATCTTTACAATGAAGAATTACCATTCTCGTGTTGTAGAAAAACATATTTATTTCTGATTTCAATCAGAATATACGTCAAAATCTCTTCGATGTCCATAAGGTGAACATCTAATCAGATTTATAGCGCTGCCAGTTTGTGTTTTGTCAATCATGTTGATCAACGCAATAAATATTTTACGAAAGAAAGTATTTGAACAGACTTCCGCGAAATTCAGCGATATCAAAATCTTGATTATCTTCGCTCCTGTCAGTACGTCGTCACATTTCTATAGTTTATGAGTTATCAATCAGATACCTTAATCGGAGCATGACGAAATGTCGCATTTTTGTGTATTACTTTAATTCACTTCCACACGTGTATAATATTTTAAATAAAAATTTATAAGCTTCTTAGAGGATTGGCCAATTACATTCTTTTGTCTTCTTTTTTATCGACTTAGGTCTCAGGTAGATCCGATGTTTTATTAACTACACTTAAGTATAGTTGATTGACATAATTGATAAAACATCAAGTACACTTAATAATATATCAAGTATGTTTGACACATCAATGTTGTCTCAATAAAAATGCTTACTATACTTTCCATTAATTACTGCCGCGATAGCTTTCTATTAACTCCTCGACGGCCTCAGCTTTATATCACTGATTATTTCTGTCTTCAGAGATATCATTAACTAACCTTCTAGAGAATGCAATTTTCGAAATTCATCTCTTTGTGTCTCACTCATCAGATATATTGAATTTATCTCTATACGAAAATAAACAAAGGTCGTTGATGTATATTTGGCTTTTACCAAACCTTTCTGTCGATACAGAAGTTTATCGGATCATGCAGTATCAGTCATCTCATAAATCAGGAGATTATGGGTAGGTTGCACCAATTCGAGGTAACCTGTAATCTTCATTCAAGACAAAAATGGCTTATCAATCTTCTGGGTTTTTGACCGATTCATCAAACATAAATTGACTTTCTTCCACACTATTCGAATCAACTGCAAGAAATCAGCATATTCTGCTCTCTATCCCTCAAAGAACTTGATTCCTTACCTAAAATATAATTTATACAAATAATACATAATTAAAGTGCTATGAAAGGATCATTCTATATATATCAAAACGTCAAAATATTTATAAAACGTTTCTCCATACTGGGTGCATCGAATCATTTGAAATTTCATCAAGTGATTACGGCTATAAGAAAGAATGTGATTGAAATTTTATTAAAATAAAAATATTTTTATTTATCCCAAACTAGAACCCACAACACATTTTTTTAATGAAATTTCATGAGCATCACGCTCTTCCTTATGGTCTCCATAATCACGTGATGAGGTTTCAGATAATTCGATGTACTGAAATAGGAAAAATATTTTATAAATATTTTGATGTTTTGATGCATATTAAGAATGACTCTTGCATAACACATTAAAACAACAACTACTAACAGTTTATATATACCTACTTCTATCGGAAACGGTGAAATGGCCGATATTGAAATAAAAGTTATATTTTTGTCAATTATCTGCACGTCTAGTCACTTTAGCAAGGGTATCAATAAGCGAAATAATTTGTAAGTAATAATTACAAAAAATGCCATTTTTTAAATTTTAGACAACCTTTATATTATTTTCACGTGCACTTACTGCGTAATAGGTGTCAAGATCTACGGCAAATTGAGGAAATATGTGTACGTAGTGATTATCGTTTGTATTATGACAATATTCAGTCAATTCAAACATATTAAATGGAAATATCCAAACTTGTCTTATGTGTTGGCAACTATATATGGAATGAGATGATATTGGAGAATAGCCAAAGTTATAAAATTGAAACTTCAATCGCTCTAATGATCAGTCACGGTAGAAATAGGTATACTACATCAAACACACCTTCGGTGTACAAAAGTCTAGCCAAATACACTTATCTTTATTCAATTAATTACAAAAATAGCTCAAATTGCTCCCTTTCCCTGAAAAGCTCAAATCAATTATTTTTGTCAAATATAGCAGAACATTCAGTCTATTAAAATCCCAGCTAAAATCTTTTTGCCAAATGTCACAGTACGTTTGGTTTCACGTATGTTGCATGTACAAGATTTTCTGCTTCCTCAAACCGAAGACAAATAATAAAAACTATATCAAAACAAATAAAAAAATTAGAAACTAAATTTGAAAACAATATATTATTTGGCGAGCACCCGGGGTATACTCCCAGCATATGATTTTGGTGCTCGCCAAATAAAATGTTGTTTTCAAATTTAGTTTCTAATTGTTTTATTTGTTTCGATACAGTTTTTAATATTTGTCTTCGGTTTGGGGAAGCAGAAAATCTTGTACATGCAACATACGTGAAACCAAATGTACTGTGATATTGGAAAAAAGATTTTAGCTGTGATTTTAATGAAATGAATGTTCTACTATATTTAGCAAAAATAATTGATTTGAGAAGGGAGCAATTTGAGCTACTTTTGTAATTAATTGAATAAAGATAAATGTATTTGGCTAAATTTTTGTACACCGAAGGTGTGTTTGAGGAGATTTTACTCCTTTTTGTAAAACATTCTCTAACCTGAACATTAGGTGTTTCCATTTCAGGATCTACGGAGTTCCAAAAATAATATCGAACAACTACTAATTGCAGTCGTTTGACAGTTTTAGGTTATTTGTATATGTCCATCGTCTGTAAATGCATAATTATTTTCTTACCTGGACATTAGGTGTTTCCATTTCTATGGAGTTGCAAAGTATCTACGGTGTATCTATGCAGTTCCAAAATTAATATCGAACAACTGCTGATTGCAGTCGTTTGACATTTTTAGGTTATCTGTATACATAAGTACTCGATCGCTGGAGTTTCTATTTCAAGAGGTACTGATGTAGTTTCGATACTAAAACGTCTACCTGATCAAAGCAAAATGGTAAAAAAACCAAAGGTACTGATGATGACTTATGTACACTAGCACCACTAGTGATTGAGAGACCACAACAGAATGGAACGTCTCATTCGTGTAGGTAGTGCTCGTGCCGCAGGGTACGCTTCAATACGTTGTACGAAAACCGTACGAAAGTCAACCTATCATAGTACGACGACGACAACGATGATAAACGACACGATTCTGAGCGCATGCAAAAATTGAAACCGCCATATCTTCACGTGCATACTATCAATCGGAGTTGGGTAAATTTTAAAAAATTCGTGATTTTTTCCTTGATTTTTTGAGTTGGTCAAACGCTCATTTCTTTTTCTACGGTAATGGAGAGAACAGATTCTGATTTCCCCCACTCCTGAAATTTGGGTTCTTGGCGTTAAATACTCGGTAGCGTTTCGCTGAGGCTCAAACGCGCAAGGTGCGTTTCGCTCATCATTCGACACTACGAGTTTCTTGATATAATCCGTGCTTTGCGCTGGTGCGAGAAGAGTACGTTGCCTGAATGTCACGTTCCTTACTCCTGCGATTACATAGATAGTACCTATCCTTTAGATCCCTATTATCTTCGTTTTCCCTCATTTAAAAAATGGAAACCAAAACGTAGCGTTATGTCTCTATATATAAAATGTTAACTGACTTAATTTTTCAAAGGCAAATTGCATACTTCTAGATCTACCCGTTTCCCAAGAAGCCAAAAATCTCAACACACTTGATCACCCCCTTAGGGATAGAATTAAAAAGAACATCTTTTTTAGTGGATGCTTACATTTTAAGAAGAAACCATTCTCAAAATTTCAATTTTCTAGAGCTAGTGGTTTCGGCTGGGCGTGGATTATCTTTAACGAGGAAGGTCGATCTCTCCGATTTGATTTCTTTTATAATATGTTATAGTAGACTAAAAACTAAGCGACATGTATTTTTTTTTTATCTGCCATTAAACACTTTAAGGGGGTGAAACCACCATCCAAAGTAAGACATGTCAAGGGGCGATTTGGCAGTTTCACCCACAAGAACATAATATTTTTTAACCAATCCAACTGGAAAAGCTTTCTCATAACGAGAAATAAAAAATATAATTTTGTCAATTAAAAAAAAAATTAAGGGGTGAGCCATCTCTTACAGGCCTTACTTTGGATGGTGGTTTCACTACCTTAAAGTGTTTGATGGTAAATAAAAAAAAAACACGTATCACTTAGTTTTTAGTCTACTATACCATATTTTAAAAGAAATCATATTGGAGAGATCGACCTGGGATACCTTCCTTGTAAGTCAGTGAGTCAGTTGAGAATTTATATACTTATAGAGATCTATCTCAGAACAAACCGTGGGGAATACATAGATAAAGCGGAATTGATTTTATATATATATAATAAGAAAAGCAGGGAAATCAGTTAAGGTACAGCGACAAAATTTGAGAAATGATTTTATATAAAGGTTAGATTAACCTTGGTGGGTCTTTCGTGTTCAGCTGATATCTGTTACCTGTAATACCTTCGAAGGTTCTATTAACTTTGATTTGTTTAAATAATTATTTAAATATTGTTTTTCCTCTTCTAAGCTTATGTCCCCTAGTCTAGGAGGTTCAATGAATATTTCGGTTTTTAACACATTAAGTATTACGTCGATCTCATGAAGCGGACTAGTCTTTCCGTTTAGGAGGAGTCGGTTTCATGGGACTGGCATATCATTAAGATGATATGAAACACGTTGAGGAGCTTGATCGACGTCGGTAAAACAGGTTTTTCTAAATTCCATACGTTGCCGGCGTTCGTTTTTATATTGACAACTGTGTTGAATTACATTAAGTATTGCACTAAATGCATACGTCATCTGTCGTTTACGTGCAATAATTATAAAGAAATCGAAGTAAAACTCTAGAAATACCCTGGATTTATGGTTCCTGAGGCCCAAATTGACCTCAGAGGGACCCCTTGCGCCATCTGTGATATCCGGGTCAACTAAATTTTCACTCCGAGACCTCGTATTGCAATCGTTTTAGCATAGAAGCGCATAAAACACTTTTTGCCTTGATCCCGTTCGACTGCGAGTTTCTCGATTCCCAGAGTGTTCTAAATTCTCGTACAGTTGTTCTGACACTTTCATTTCTCATATTACTGCCTTCAATAATTGGATATCAATCGAAATATGAGAGCTCGACGCCATTTTGGTTCTGGTCTGGACTAAGTTAAAAAATTTAAAAAAAAATCCAAATTTTGAAAGTGTCAGGATAATTCCTAGGCATTCACGAGTCATGCGTACAGAACAGAATACAGAAACAGATACAGATAAACAGAGAATGGGTGGAAAGGGGAGGCGCAGCAGAGAAACAAGGCTTAGTTTCAAACACCGTCACATTCTGTACTTCCCCCACACGTATTCTTCTTTTTCGTGTCGCGAATTAGGCTTACTCCCTGCCAAAAGAGGTCTCACTTCACAAAATTTCATTGAACCAAAGAAATATTTCTTCGAACAGCATCTAAGAAATATTTTGTTAATTCAAAGAATTATTTAACACAAATAAACTCGAATAAATTGGATGCAACGGTTCTTCGGAACTGGCACAATTTACTTGAGTTGATATGAGTCAGATAATTATTTTTCGAATTGGCAAAATAACTCTTTGATACCAGATATCAGATATCAGAGGGATATACCTGCGATTTAACGAATTTTTGTTTTCAGGGTATGAAAAATATTATGCCGCCTGAATGGAAAGTGCAAGAAAATTAACTCCGCGTTAAACGGATGTTGATATACAAAACGGAATTACCTCCTATCACTTGTGTAGAAATTCGTTTTGTAAAATGTATAGCATTTATCATTGGATTGTCACTTTTCAGGGACCTGGGATCTCTCGCTCATCTCCTCAAGTCTTCTCTGGGCACCGGCATTCTGGCTATGCCGAATGCCATAAAAAATGGTGGCCTGCTCTTCGGGGCTGTTGGTACCCTTGTGATAGGGTTCGTTTGCGCCCACTGTGTTCATATACTCGTAAAGTCGTCACACGTTCTCTGTCGGCGGACGAAAACACCGAAAATGACCTATGCCGAGACCGCCTGTGCAGCCTTCCAGTGCGGACCGAAGATCTTGAGGCCATTCGCCAACTTCAGCAAGGTCTTCGTCAACGCGGCGCTCTGCGCCACGTACGTAGGCGGTGCCTGCGTCTACGTTGTCTTCGTGTCGGAATCTATAAAGCAGGTAAACATTGTCATAAAAGAAACTCACTGTATTAACACTAGAACTACCGGCGGATTTTTTTTCTATAGGATGGGCTATTCAAGACCAGTAATTTTGAGTTCTAGTGTTGGTAGTTTTAGTGTTAAGGAAAGAGATTTACATGACCCCGCAATTTGAGAAAATGCACCGTTTACGGTTTTTTCTCCGCAATCGTAAAACAAATCGCTTTCTTTTGAATAGCACGACCCTAGGAAACGACTGGTGTTTCGCAATTCCGGAAGAATTAATCGTTAGCTCACAAGTTTTATGCGAATATACAGAATGGTTTTGTGACGGTTACCTCCATATTTGCAGGTGGCCGACTACTACAGCGGGATGAACATACCAATTAGATTGTACATGGTTACCTTGATACCTGCCGTGGTGCTTCTCGGTCAGATACGGAATCTGAAGTATCTGGTGCCGTTTTCCATGATTGCCAACATTAGCATAGTGATCGGCTTCGCTATCATGATGTACTACCTTTTCGAGGACATAAAACCCATCAGCAGCGTGAATCTTGTTGCCTCCTTGCCGCAAATTCCGAAATTCTTTGCTACTGTCATCTTCGCCATCGAGGGAATAGGAGTGGTACGTTGGACGACAATTGTACAATTTAGAACACTCTGGTAATCAAGAAACTGGCATTTTAACGGGAGAAATACAAAAAAAGTGTATTATGTGCTGCTATGCTAAAACCATGGTAATATGAGGTCTCGGAGTGAAAATTTAGTTGACACGGAAATCGCAGATGACGCAGGGTGTCCCTCTGCAGTCAATTAGGGCCTTAGAGACCATGACTCCAGGGAACTTGAGAAACTTAATCGACGTCGATAAATCAACATTTTTTTAAATACCTACGTTACCGACGTTCGTATTTATATTGGAAGCTGTGTCGAATTATGTTGGATATTGTACTAAATGGCATACTCTGTATGTCGTTTTCGTACAATAATTATACAAAAAGCGAAGTCAAATTCTAGAAATACTACGCATTAAAATAGTCCGTTCTTGCAACTTTGTATAGTTTGGTACTTTTTACAGTTACTGTAACTACATGTATATTGTTAACGATTTAATTGACCTGACTATTTTCTATTGTTCTGGTGAGAAAAGATTTGTTTTCACTGCGACTGAAATAATTTGATTGATGTGGTACTTCATTCAAGAAAACAGTTGTTTTCTAGTAATGGGAACTAAACATTTTTTGCTCTGCGCGTTTTTTAAACGCTAATAATGACTCATTACGCGTTACCCTCACTCATGCTTTGGTGATGAGCACTGTTAAGAGGTGAACCTTATCACACTAGAGAGGCACTCTTATACCTGATAAATCAATCTCCTTAATTGACGGTAGTCTTGCGATTTGCCGTGAGCAAATAAAATATAAGAGGCAATTGTATTGACAGTGCATTCTTGAGTAGCCTCTTTATTGTGTATATTAGGTACACGTGGTTACATACTAATTTTGAATAATCTTGTCGCAGGTGATGCCTGTCGAAAACAGCATGAAGAAGCCGCATCATTTTCTGGGGTGTCCAGGAGTGTTAAATGTGACGATGTCAACAGTGGTAGCATTATATGCTATCATCGGAGTTTTTGGCTACCTCAAATACGGAGATGCTACGAAAGGAAGCGTCACCTTCAGCTTGGAGATTTCAGACGTGTGAGTTTCTGATTTATATCAAAATACTCCTTTCAAACGTAAAATCTCGTCCAGCATTTCTGCCAATACTGTTATATAAATATGAGAATAACAAACCTTTTTGGAATTTGGGATCGAATGAATTACCATTTATAATTTTCATATTTTATGTATGAGTAGCACCGTAAAATAGTTGCTTTGTGACTCTAATATGTTGTTTCTACCTTTTTCATTAGTCTTGGACAAGTGGTAAAACTCTCCATCGCTTTGGCAGTTCTTTTTACCTATGGATTGCAATATTCAGTTCCCTTGGATATCATTTGGTGCTCCATGAAAGGATGGTTCAGCCACCAGTACGCCGGGATCGGCGAGACAATTGTGAGATTTTTCATGGTCATGGTGACAGGTAAGAAACTATATTACTCCATTTATTACATCTAACAATAAGTACTCTTCTCTAGACGTATGCACGGGTGAATATATCTTTACATCAATTTGCAGAACGCGAAAAAAGCATTCTCAGAATATTTTTATTTTCTAAATATTTTACTAGTTATATGTGTATGTGAAAACGGACATACCATTTCTACAGTTCTCTATAAAAATGTAATTTAATTTGTTTTGCAGTATGTGTTGCGGCGCTGGTTCCCGAACTGGACCCATTCATTTCCCTGGTTGGTGCTCTATTTTTCTCAGTACTTGGCATCAGTATTCCCGCAATTATCGAGACCATTTCCTGCTGGGATGGTCACTTGGGGACGTGCAAATGGAGGTTATGGAAGAATCTCCTGCTACTTGTGTTCTCGGTGTTTGCTCTTATCTCTGGATCTTGGATGTCGATAATGGATATTATAAATCTTTACAAGTGATTCGTGTTGTTTATTTATGCCTGTTCTCCCAGCAGCTTTCCTGCTTCGATATTGAAATAATATGTTAACTCTATTGTTATTAGAAACATCGCGTTGCGAGTGCGTCGAGGCGAACGACGCGAAAGTTTGGTAAATTGTGGTGTCACGGGTGTCTTGCCGCTATGACCAGAAACAATTATCGAATTAAACCGCGATATTTAGCGACTACTCCTCTGATATTTCGATCGATATACAAATATTGAAGGCTCCGATATGAGAAACAAAGGTGTCAGGACAATTGTACAACGATTTAGAACACTCTAGTAATCGAGACAATTAAATTCGTGTCAACTAAGTTTCCAGTCCGTGACCTCATATTGCAATCGTTTTAGCATAGAAGCGCATAAGACACTATTTTTGTCTTTACCCCGTTCAAATGCAAGTTTCTCGATTACCAGAGTGTTCTAAATTGTCGTACCATTGTCCTGACACTTCCGTTTCTCATATTAGAGCCTTCAATAATTGGATATCAATCGAAATATGAGAACTCGGCGCCATTATGGTTCTGGTTTAGGCTAAGTTCAACAATTTAAAAAAAAAATCCAAATTTTGAAAATGCCAGGATAATTCCTAGGTGCTCACGAGTCAGGTGTCAAAGTTTTGGACAGTTCTATCCAATACCTTTAAAAAAAAGTGTTGTATTCGAATCGACTGATTTGAAGGGGGTTTCACTTTACCTTAAAGTGTGGGATGTTACGTAGACACTACTTACAAAATAATCGCGACCCGGTAAATCGGAAGGTAGCCATGGAATTCCATAAATTAGCACGCGATTTTGCCATACGCTTGCGAAATGAGGTCCCACTCGACCTGACTAAGATCGCGCCACCGACCCAAGTAGACCAGGTCGCGATCAACCGGGCCCAAATGCATCCTGGTGACGCTGCAACATGTCCTCCACCCCTGCAAACACCGCCCTCGTCTAAACCATGGAACCCCCACCAATTGGAGCGCCGTCCCAAATTCGTCAATAAAAACCAACAACCGTCCAGTTATTGGGCAGTTAATCGCAGTCAGTCAGAAGAAAGGTGAGACTCATACCGAGTCCCACGAAAATCATCATCGTCATCGACCACGAGCTTGGAGTCTTTGATTCTCGACTCTCAGTTCCTAGCGAGTCCGAGACCGAAATCATCGAACTCGGAGGATCACCTGCACCTCGAGCTACAGTTGTGCTGCTCGGTACTCCGGCGATCCAAGAGCATCAATCCAGGAAGGGACGGCGGCACTAGTACATCCGTTGGACGGGAGGCTCCGAGGAGACCTCCAACCCTAGGGCACGTCACGGGCGGAACGCGTTCACGCGCAGTCATCCGGTTGATCGATCTAAGGAGGACGTCACCGAATTTGGCCGCTGATCTAAGCCAGGTACAGGCCCTTTCGCAAGCTCGGGTCACCTTCATCTTTAATCCTAACCTCATCTTTCATCGCAACTAAAACCACCCGAATTCCATGCCTAGCTCCGGTTAACCGGATAGATTAAGTCTTTTATATCTCCAAACATTTCAATATCTTGTTTCGCGCTAGAGTCACGCGAACCTCGCAAATTCAGAATGCAAGAAGTGTCATGTTAGCAGATTAGGCGTCCAGTGACCTACTGCCACTGACCGCCTTATCGCGTCATCCGAAACTCCGCAACGCGGAACGAAATCGACTCGTACGAATTAAATGCGAGCACCTTCGAGGACCCTCACGATTTGTATAAACCCCATCTGACGGAAAGACAAAAATATACATCCTCACCAATTTACTGATAACCTCCATTTATTGGGCCCTCCTTAGCTCCCCATTCCTACAAATCCCACCAGAGGATTTGGTCTAGCCGCTCGGACCATCTCCTCACAGTAATATCTGATCATTACGTGGACGTTCGAGGTAAGACCTTATTGGGCAAAACCCGAACTTTCCCCTCGGCCTCGCATCCCCTCGGCCGCCACGTAACAGGGACATCGTCCATGTTACTATGTCGTGTTGCGCGACGACGAGGCTGTAAATGTGTACTGGATTGACGCAACCTCCCAGCGCAACGTTGCGCGACGCGATTGGAAGTCTATACGAGGCCTAAAGTTTTATCAAGAAAATTTTGGAAACTCGTCGGAAACATTTTTAGGTACGAGGAAGAAGCTTGATCGTGTCCATCTCCATAGGTCCTTGGACTGGGGCCCGATTCTCGAGGTCATACGATAAACTTTCGCATGCAAAATTGAGAGTTTTGTATAAGACTTTCAAATGATAACCAATAACGCGACTTCGCAACAATGAAAAATTTGTCATGCAAATCTTTTCGTATGTAAAAAAAATCCGCATGAACTAGAGAGTCGATCCCCTGGCGTCTGTAAGATAAAGGTCGTCAGTCGTAAGTCGTCGCGTCCTCTGTCCAAACTTGTTTCTAGTTTAATTTTATGATGTAAATATTTTATTTCTAAAATCTCCGCTGCAACATCTATGTATAATTATTTAACGGATACAAAATAAACTGTAGAAATGTATTCTTACCTAATGTGCGCGTTTGCAATGCGGGAAAGATGAAAATGGGACGCTAATTTACGCACCTCTTCGTTTTCGAATTTTTAATATTTCCTTTGAAATGTATCGTATTTAATTCATTATTCCAGTTTATCATTTTTGACCGAGAGAAAAGAGGATCTTGACTTGATACCGAGGACCTCTCGATAAGTCCTGAGTTAACGGGGTCTCGTAACCATAGATTTGCAAGGATGAAAAAAATCCCCAATAAAAGCGGTGTCCAAGAGAGAACGTTCAAAAATCTCATAAGACGGTGTACATTGACAACTGTTAGTGCCTGTTCTATCGTTATGTTCGCCCCCTACAACATGAAACAACACAGGTCAATTGAAGGGCAGAATAATCGGAATACGGAGTATATCGGTATTCTAATTTTTAAAAACACCTTTTATCAATTTAATTACTCACAACGGAACTAGGCGTATATAGTCTAGTTCTCACCTTGTCCTTTTCATTTTTTTTTAACTTACCTCTTCGATCCATACCAAAGGAAAATATCCTTCGCTGACGTTATGCAATCCCTGAACAGGTTGGGGTGCGAGATGCATATTTAATTGACACTTTTTAAATCCTGAGAAAGGTATTCCCGAAATTGGTTCAATGTCTAGGTAAGTATGATGAAGTAATTCATTGGGACGTAATCCAATGGCATACTCAAGTAGTTTAGGATCTCCGTGTAGAAAATGAGGCTCGGATGCATATATCGGAATTTCCTGTCAAGTATACGACATTTTTAATATTATTCAAGACGCATCGGCGAATTTCGTTATAAATAATTGATTTAAAATTTGATTACGACCATCGTATTACACATAATGCTAGATATCAATATTTTCCCATAAAGATATTACCTGACAGGCGGATACATCCAAGATACCCATGGGTGGACACTGTATCTCTTTCTTTAGGTTTTTTGGGCAAAAGCATACCGATGCATTGTGCGTCCACGTATTGCCCATCATCTCATATCGATAAGTCGTAGTCCCGAAAAATCGGGTGTCTTTCGAGTAGTCGATCTGTAATATTCTGCAAAGGAAACATAATATTTCCATCAAACGATTAATTACTGAGATTGTATTTACAGACCTAACTTGACAACCAACCATTAACACTTACGTTAATCGTCGGAAAAATATTTGTCGGAAAGAAACTCACTTCAGTGATTTTCGCACACACTTGTGTGCGCATTTGGCGCTAAATTCAACTCATACCGTATTTTATGATTGAAACTTCGCTTAAAGATGGTAGTTTGGTTGGCTAGGAATTCAGCTACTTGTTCTATTTTCGCATAGGAATTAAGCAAAGTTATGTTTAAACATGCCTGCAATATTCCTTGGCGTATGTCTGAATGTGAGGTACACGTGCCTCCAATGGTGCGCAGGTAATCGCGTCACATCCCCAAACTCTATTACATTCTTCAGTATTCCAGATTTTATTATATTTGTTTCCTTTACTAGCCACAATATTACCAAGTAGCGAGTAATTTTGTGATCCTCGATTAATAGAGAAGGAGCCCTGATCCGAACCGTTAACCTGTACGTGTCGAATCAAACTGTATAATTTAAACGTGTAGTGTACAATTATCCAATGTAACATATATCTTGACAAGATAATAAAAGCTCTAACAAAATCGCTTCAAAAGAAGCATTAGCATTACTACCTTATCAAAAAAACTATACAGATATAGTTTTTCATTATCCGTTGATCGGATTATCGGCGGCTTTTTCATTTTCAGATAGGTACACATTAGACCGATTTCTGGATATTTGTCTTTGTCGCAAATAAGGGGCAAGCCGTCGAATAATATGTTTTTTACTTTGCCATGTATAAATACGTCAGTGCCTTCTGGAAATAGTTTTACAATATCCTTGCCAAACTTCGTCAAGAATATAGGAAATTGCGTGGCTATCTAAGAATAAGGAAAACGTAGTAAGATTTAATTAACAAGATTAAAAAATGCTTATTATTTTATGGTCGGAGTTTCCTGTCTGACAAACAAGGAAAAATAAATGTTGCCGACCATTTTGTATTAAAAACATACCGAAGTGATCGTAGTTCTACACTGTTCAAAATGTTTCGATATTTAAACCACTTGCGAAAACCGATGTATACTAAAACAAGAATTAGCGACACTCGGAATGAGACATATATGTACATTTCGTAGAATATTATTTCTACACGAGAATTCGTACAAATGTATTTGAAATTTCGATCAAAACGGTAAGATGAGAGATGCAATCGGTACAAATATTAATAAATGTACTACAACGTGCTTTTCTCAGAACACAAACAATTCTGAATGTGTACGTGATCGAAAATCAAAGTACAAAAGTATTCGAGTTTGTATAGATTGTTATGCCCAAACATTATGACTCCCTTTTAATATTTTACCACTCGCCGAACCCTGGGAACATTGATGGGCACCGCTTCACAGCGTTAGTTCTATGTCAGCAAAATTGTATCTCGTAACAGGAATACCCTTTGTCTTATCCTTAGCCCTGCTTTCTCGGCTCCCGAGAAGCGCCAGTCGTAACTGTCTGTCTGAATCGAAACGTCGTCATGAACCAATAGTATTCGGCGTGAAAATTAATAAAGAATTAATAATGAAATTTTGTGGTATAAAATTGTCGTGATTCCTCAAAAAGACAAATACCTCACGGCATAAGAAGAATTTTGATGGCAGCAGAAAGGCCCTTAAGTCAGCACGGAAGCCGAACGTAGAAAGCCAGCACCAAAAAATGAAGGCTATACCGTTACTGTAAGTAACGCGAAAACAAATTAACGTATTTCTTAATGGGTGAGAAAGCATTTACAGAATATAGGGAAGTGAAGAGTGTTATACTTTTCGAAGATTCCGCTTCTACTGATTCCGTAGAAGACACGTATAAAGATCCCGAAGAACAGACAATACTAAATAAAATGACAGATCGACAAATTCTTGAAACTCTGACAAGTCACGTTACATCTCTGCAAGAGCAAGTCGAAGCACTTACCACGAGGATAGGATATATATGCACGTCATCTGGTATAAATACAGCGCACGATGATGCAGTAAATTCGTTGGAAGAAAATGATGACCTTGGATCAGAGAGACAGGGTAGCACATCATTTTCCACGAAAGACTTAAAATCAAACCTTGAATTAATCACCGAATTTGAAGGCAATAACATCTCAGTTGAAACATTTATCTTTGAAACAAAATCAGTCTTAGATGAAATCCCAGAAGATCGCAGAAAAATATTTATTCGACTAATTATTTCGAAGAGGATTGTTAAACACGCAAGGAAAATGATCGATGGTCATGACATTAGGTCACCCGAAGACTTATTTCAGGTCTTCGTAGCAATTTTGGTGATGTTAAGTCCTTCGATGTGGCTACTCTCGAAAGAAGTCAGTATCAACAAGGCAACAACAACGTAGTGTTATATAATAAAAGATTTAACGAAACACATCTCAACGTGAAAAGGGCAATTAATAGTAATGCAGAATTTGATTCAAATCACCGTCCAGAGAGTTTAGGAAACGAAGAAAGGCAAGGATTAATTCAACACTAAACCTATCGACGATATATACTCCCATTACAAATGCCATTTAAACCGGTCATTTTGACCCGCCGGTGGCAGGTTTAGTGTTAATACATTCGGGGCCTTCGTCCAAGTATCAAATTATTTGTCAAAGCGGGCAAACCTACGACAATTCGCGAGGCGCAAAATCTAGCGTTAGAAACTGAAAAGGAAGAAACTACATCGCGAATTGTCTATAAAAGATCCATATTTAATAGTTCAAAGGGTGCACCGAGATTCGGTAATACGCAAAACATAAGCCCAAAAGTTTATAAACCTAATCCACAAAACAATCCACCTATTCCAAGAACTTCGTTTTTCTGTCACGAATGTGGTGGTACGAAACATTTTATCAAGAATTGTCCAAACAGACAAACGAATCCTAATTTTCCGTCGCGACGATACCCAAACGTACCGCCGAATCGAATAAAGTATACCGAATGTCAAGAAACAGACGAAATCCAGGAGCAAGCTTCGTCCTCAGAATCGACAGCGCTTTCGGACAACGATCCCACTCGCTCTTGGCAGACACAGGAACAGCAGTAAATATTCTTAAATTGGATTGCACAGCAGGGCTACCGGTTCGTAGAATATTGGCGCGAATTACCGGTATCAATGAAATTCTAATAAACTGCACCCAAGAATGCAAAATTCCGCGAATTCTGCCATCCCCCGCTCGATTCGAAGAATCGCGTCGGCACCTTTGCTCCCCACAACGGCGGAAGACTCGCGACGAGATTCTGAGAATTCCCGTCGATCTAGGAGGACTGCCGTTATCTCCCTCGACGCAGGAATCCGCTGGCTCTCGTCGACCGCGACGTAATTCCGCGAATTTGTCGACTTCGGAGAATTAGGAATCCGTTGGCTCTCGTAGATGTCGCACTTTGGAGTCTTCTGGAACCTTTGCCTCAAAGGCGGTAGCCGCTACCTTTCAAAGGGGTGATTGCGATTCTAAGAACTTTGCCAGCTATCATCGATCAAAAAATTCGCGATACAGATATTGGCGGCAGCCGCTACCTTTCCAAAGGGTGATCGTAATTCTAAGAACTTTACCCTCCGACTTTCGGGCGGCAGCCGTTATTTCCTCATGATGATGATGATGATCAAAAGGAAGGGTCGGGTAGATTCTCCATGCAGAAATAAAATCCAGAAACTCCAAATTTTATTCGTGAAACCAATAACAAATCGGATTTTTATCCGGTGCCTCTTCCGGAACTTTGATTCGAGGTTACATTGCTAGAAGAATCTCTCGCGCCGTTGACAGGATTCGGTGGATTTTGATTCACCGTTGCGTATGAATTATTGTTATCGAAAATGATACGCCTTTCAGGTAAATCCGAGCGCCACACTCACTCTTGGTACCGATCTCGTCGAAATTGCTCTCTCTCCCTCATGTCTCGATGGAATTGCTCTCTCCTCCTCGTGTCTCGATCTCTTCCGTGCATTCTAGGTTTTCAAATGTCACCTCAACATCTACCGTTTGCACATTAACTCTATGGTATCGTTGCGCCGTCATTTATTGCTATCCGAATAGCCTGAAAACGCGCGAAGGGATCCAAGTGGTAGGATCTTATCGTTTCAACATTTCATAGAGAGATTTTAACGTTCCGATGGTCGTTAAGATCTTTGTCTTCTCTCCGATTGTTAACGTGACGTTTTTTTTTCAAAATTTTACAAAGGAGCCTAATATTACGAACATCAAATTTTATCCACTTTTCAATTTCCGCGTTCGAACTTTGTTTCTTCTATAGTTTATAAGCTCCCTCCGGTTTATGAACGAGTTAAAAGAATTAGCTCAGTTCGTAGAATTTTACCTGAAACGCATCGTACCCGACGGAACCGCTAAATTTTGAACAGAAAAATGAATATTACTCGACCAAGATTCGTCGTATTTGTGAAAAAGACCCTTTACGCCTCAGAACGTGAAGGGATCATTACCATTCTTACGGGTAAAATATCGGGATGCTGCACATCAGGGATGCAATTTGAACTATGGGAACTCATACCGTTCCTATCGTGTTTCACAGCTTCTCGTTCTATGATACACATTTCTTAATCAGAGTCCTGGCTACTTCTTCGAGGGCTCGATAATCCTGTTACCGGTAAATAATGAGCAATACATATCTTTCACGATGAGCCTCAAGGATACTATCGTACGTTTTCGATTTATCGACTCGTTTAAATTTATATCGAGCAGTATCTAAAAATTAGCATCCTACTTGAAAGACGAAGAAAAATTAATTTCGCGTAATCATTGCAATAGTGTAGAGGAACTTAAATTGTTGACTAGAAAGGGTGTTCTTCCGTACGAATATGTTGACAGTTGGAAAAAGAAACGAACAGGATCAATTACCACCCAAACAAAAATTTGATTCGAAATTAATTAATGAAGGAATATCGGATGTAGATTATGTACATGCTTCAAACGTTTCGCAAACATTTGATATCAAGACGTTGGCGCTGAATCTTCCGATTTTTATCTGAATGTCGTTCCCATGGAACCACTTAATATCGTGCAGATACACGAATTTGAATCCGCAGTGCTTTGCCACATTTGCAAAAAAACTTTTTATACCTCAGAATGTCAAGCATATGGATCAATGCCACTTCACAAGCAAGTATCGCAGGCCTACATATCCTGGGTGTAATTTGTATTATATTGACTAACGTGTAGGAGATGAAATTACCGAAGCGAAACTACTGTTAATGAGTCTATATTGTTGTAGATTTACAGAACATTAATTGGATTATTGTTCAAAACCGTAGATATGATCCTCGAGGAGGCGTATATAAAAATGGATCCAAGTGCTCCGTTCTAAGATCCTTGACCAAGTGCCGTCCCGTCCACTGTTCGCAGGGACCGTCTTGGTCTAGCCGCATAAGTTGTTTAGGCCATGCTCATATCTTGTAAACATTCTCGCCTTTCCTCGCCCATGATTCTGGGAATAGGTCCGCCCATGGACCTCCGATAATTTGACTTGCCTCTTCGAAAAATTTCCTTCAAACGAAGAGATTTCTGAAAGCGATTACCTACACTCGACCAAACAGGAAATTTTTAAAGACTTACCGTTATGTCCACTTCATTGCGTACTTTCCGGCCCACGAAGTAATATGACTAAGTTAATAACGATCCTTCTGCTGAAGAAAAGATACGTTTTTCATTATCAGAATTTAAAGCAATGTTTACGTTTAGGCATGAAATTAACGAAACTTCATCGAGTTCTTAAATTTAATCAAGGTCCCTGGTTAAAAAAGTTTCCATAAATGAACGTTAGAATGTTTAACGTAAATCAGTTCTTTTTCCTACAATTCATAAGAATCTTTCACGGCGTTAACATGACTCTGATGACGCAAGACTTTAAATCGTGCGTACGGTCAAGATGATATGTTTTGAAATTCTTCCCTCTTCAGAAGATTAGGAGTGCAGCTCCGCTTCCCCTCAATCCCCCATGCGTTATCTTCCGAGATTACAACGACTGCAGCTTCACGTGGATCGATTGACTGGAAAAATCGAGAAACTTGAAATTAAGAAATAGAATTCTCTTAACATTCAATATTTACGTTAAGCTTTTCTCAATCACGTTATATGAAGTCGAGAAACCCGGGATTAAAGAATAGAATTTTCTTTGCAACTAAAAGTTGTCAATTTCACTCATGTAAAGTCTTTCAAAAAGACACGGCTACCCGATGACGAGGATACAACGTTTTATACAAAGTAAAAAACATTCGGTATATACTGCTCGACAGAGGAAAATAGCTCTAAGTTGGCGCGATGACAAGAGTATCGTTATTTCAGGAATTACCGATACCTTACCGTGGAGGTACAAAATGAAATGACCGGAATGTATAAAACTGTCTTCTTCTTATTTCGAAACCTTTCTACAAATCCGATTTTGAAATTACGTTCCGGTCACAAGTTGATGTGGAAGATACACCTCCGGGGTAGATCCATTGTTTTTAAGGTGTCATGTTACTCACGAGGAGGAGAAATTAATGTTTATTTTATAATGATAGTGGGGCCGATAAAGATAAATGGGTCTTCATTTGGTTTCCGGGAGGAACACTCAGAGCCGATAAACCAATGATATAACAGGGAACCCCTAACTACCCTAAGGATATTCCACCATAAACTCAACTTCAGCAAAAAACACCCAAAAACATCGATCAATAAAATGGCACCCCACGAGACTCTTCCTCCACCAACAATTGAAGAAGAGCAGAGGGCGCCTCGAATTTGGTGGGCGAACCTTGGACATGTCTTGGATTGGGAGTTCACCCGAGAATATGGGGCCCTGGCGGAACAACGCCAATTGGGGCCCACAGGACGAGATCGACGGGGAAACCCAAGGCGAGCTTCCCCATTTCGCCATCCGGCGACCGACCCCGACGCCGGAGGAACTACAAGAATATCGCCTTTGGCCCCAGGACGAAGGCAGTCCCGACGGGCTTACCTGCAACGGGCCAAACCTGGATAGGGAGAACTGGTGGACCGAATCCTGGGACGACGACCAGGAGGAAACATCGAACCACCCTGCCGGGCCACCTAACCATGCCAAGATAAACGCGCGCGATTACTCCTAAATTCATGATAACATGTACAATAGTAATAATTCTTTCCCTTTGTATATATACGTAAATTACTAATTTTTTTTATTTATAGAAATCTGTGGTTTACTCTATGTTTTGTTAGATACATACTCAACAGTATATATACATTCTATGATCACATCGACCTAAGAGTTTTTTGTATAATAAGTAAAGAATGTATAATGAAGATCGTGATATTTTGAAAATATTGTACAATATTTTCAAAATATCACGATCTTCATTATACATTCTTTACTTATTATACAAAAAACTCTTAGGTCGATGTGATCATAGAATGTATATATACTGTTGAGTATGTATCTAACAAAACATAGAGTAAACCACAGATTTCTATAAATAAAAAAAATTAGTAATTTACGTATATATACAAAGGGAAAGAATTATTACTATTGTACATGTTATCATGAA